ACATCCATCTCCACAGGAATGCTCTCTCTGGATCAATTTCGGCTACTCTAGGTGATCTAAGTAACCTTGAAACACTTTCGTTGCGGGAGAACATGTTTCTTAGTGACATTTCTTATGAGCTCGGAAACTGCCACCAATTACAAAGAATTGATCTTTCTAGCAACTCCTTAACGGGTGGCATCCTCGACAGTTTAGGGAACTTACACAATCTAAAAGAGCTTTCTTTAAAGATGAACTTGTTATCCGGTCCCATGCATTCTCATTTATGTAATTCTACAAGCTTGGAGCATATAGACCTTTTAGATAACCAGTTTTCCGGTTCAATACCGGTTGGAACTGAGAAAATGTTTAATCCAAAGCTCTTGTATCTGTGGAGGAACCAGTTTGAGGGACACACTCCGTCAAACATTTTCTTCATGCCACAGTCTACAAGATATTGACATATCTTATAATGCATTCACTGGTTCAATCCCCAAAGGCCTCTTCCAACTCGGGCCCTGAATGTAGTGGCACTGATATCCAACAACCTTTCTAGAGTCTTACCACCGAAAATAGGTAACTGCTCTTCGCTTGTTTGGTTCCGAACTAGTCAAAATAAATTGTCAGAATCCATAGCGTGGGAGATAGAAAACTTGGACAATTTAAATTTCTTGGAGTTACTCTGACGAAAATGCATAGGTGTAAGAACCTAATGTTTATCGACCTCCACTTCAACTCTATTTCGGGTACGATTCCTGACCTATTCGGAGGGAATGTTTGTTTGAAGGAACCTGATCTATAATATGATTGAAGGTATTTTAAGTCTTAATATGGGGTTATTAATCTCACTCACCAAATTGATTTTAGGATGAAATCGGTTTTTCGGCTCAATCCGGGCACAACTTTGCCTGTGTTCGAAGCTTGAATTGATTGATTTAAGTAGGAATAAGTTTTCTGGCAACAATCCATCCAGTTTGAGTAAAATTCCAGTTCTAGCAATTACCTTAAATCTGAGCTGAAATAGACATTCAGGTTTAATTTCAAGGAAAAAACACTTCAATAGGAGTAAAAAAAAGTACCATGAACGTAAATTGGAGACTGTAACTCATATTTATGTTCGTATCACTTGTTTTACTCCTATTAAAGTTTTTTACCCTTGGAATTAAACCTGAAAGTCTATTCCAGCTCAGATTTAAGGAAATTGTTAGAACTAGAATTTTACTCAAATTGGAAAACTGATTCCTGCTTAAATCAATCAATTCAAGCTTCAAACACATGCAAAGTTGTGTCAGGATTGAGCCAGAAAACCGGTTTCGTCCTAAAATCAATTTGTTGATCGAGTGAGCTTAATGACACCATATTAGGACTTAAAATACCTTCAATCAAATTATCTGAAAGATCGAGTTCCTTCACATAAAAAATCCCTCCCAATTGGTCAGGAATCGCACTCCAACTAGAGTTGGAGTGGAGGTCAATAAACATTAGGTTCCTGCATCTATGTATTTCAGTCAAAATAATTTCAGTGAGTCTATTCAACTCTAGTTCCAAGAAATTTTAAATCACCAAGTTACCTATCTCCAACAATATGGATTTTGACAGTTTATTCTAAATAGCACAGAACCAAACAAGCGAGGAACATTTACCTATTACCGGTGGTAGGGCTCTAGAAAGTTTATTGAATATCACTGTCATGACATTCGGGGCCCGAAGTTTAAAGAGTAACCAATTTATTTTAATAATAAGCAATCAATAATACCCCCAATCAATTACTCACGTTAGCTTTTAAGGGATCAGTAAATCATGCATCATTTCATTTTTGATAATAGGAAAGGAAATCATGCATCATTAATGGGCATGTATGCAGCAAATCATTACTAAGAGCATCACCAATGGTAGAATGTGCACGGTGCACATGTGGCATAAGAGATGACCACATAAATATTAGCAAATAAATTATCTCTCTCCTTATTTGAATGATTTTATATAATTTTAGTATGTTTTTTCCTGCAATGTCAACTGCAATGTCAAATCTAGACGGTCTTCTTGACATTGTGGAGAAAAACTTACCAAAAATGAAAAAAATCATTCAAATAAGGAGATAAATAATTTATTTTCTAGTATTTATGTGGTTATCTCTCATGCCACATGTGCACCGTACACATTCTACCATTGAAGATGCTCTAATAGTGGACATTTTCCATCAACCAATTCCTAATTCAAAATCGTTTTAAATAAATCACTAAGTTTTAACAAATAAACTTTCACCAGACAGAATGAACATATAAGTTTGCACTTTTCCACCAGCCATAATGTAATTATTAATATTGCACTTCATGCTTATGGAAGGTTTTTATAGTGAACTTTCTGTAAAGATAATGCACTTTTATTTCATCAATATGCACTTTGTATATAAAACAACTTTCGGCCCTAACAAACGTGATAATAGGTTATGAATAGGTGTTCTCACAAGAAACAATGTATGCACATTTAGCTAAAGAATTATGGACTTTATATACATTTTCTAAATGTAATAGACTAATAGTACATTATGAATAGGCGTACATACATGTGCAAGAAAAATGTATGCACATTTAGTTACAAAATTATGCACTTTATATACATTTTGTAAATAGTAAACACAATTTATTAGTCAAAAGAAACTAAAGATATTTCTTTTGAAGGATAAAAATAATATTTTTTATTAGATTAACCTTTACACTGAAGTCATTAATCTGCACTTTAGTCTTTATAGTTGTGCACTTTCATGTATTTCTAAATAAAGGTAAAAAATAAACATATGCGGGTGTAAATAAATAGCTATCATGTGCATTTCTAATATAAATAAAAGTGTAATATTTATTTTACTTTGTAAAATTCTACGTTGGCGCTTTCTTACAAAGTGAAATGCATTTTTTATCATGTATATTTTAAATATATGCAAAAATGTACTATTATATCACACAAATTAATGCACTTTTTAATGACAATTATCTGATTAAAACATTGTCTATTGGTGTCACCTGTATTTGTAGGAAAAAATTAAAAATTATGGAAACTGCATGAATATGATATGATAAGTGCATCAAAGTAATATGAATTATGTTGTGCACTTACATATGAGTTCTCGTGCACTTTTCAATAAACATGAAATGAATTTCTATAAACGTGACCTACACCTTTGTTGTACATATATAATGAAGTCCCAAAAATAGATAAATCATAGTAAATAGAATGAGAAATACAAAAACAAAATAGAAGATATTTATAAAGAAAAAGACAAAAGCGAAATATCATGAAAGAGTAAAATATAAAAAATATTACTTTAAATTTAAAATGATAAACGATCAAGAAAAAGTAAACAAAAGCTGAAATGATAAAAACGTGTACAAAAGGAAATTTTCTTACGGTTATGGAAGTATTCCGTTAGCTTTAATATGATGCGGAAGTTTCATATTTGCCCCTAACGAGAGTGTTCCGTTACATTAAAAAATTTAATGACTATAATTCATTCTCAATTCTCTACTAAGATGATATTCTCATATGATCCCTACTCTCTGTCTCTCTCTATATGTATGCATGACATATGAAAACATAATTTCGTGACTGGAACCCGTTATGCTACTTGTCTGGATTGATTCGATCTTCACTTTGATGCTCTTGTCAACTGTATCATTTTAATAAACATGCAATATTTCTGTTGTCATTAAGAGCCGTCTTCCGAATCTGCTCATGACTAATTTCATGGGTAGGCTTAGAGCCATCAAAATGGGCCGAAACCCGCGGGCTGACCCGTTTAAACCCATTTATTGGTGGGTTAGAGTTGTGATTTTCTGACCCATTTAGTTCGCGGGTTTCGCGGGTCAACCCACACGGGTTGCGGGTTTAAGTGGGTTGGCCCACCGGGTTGCGGGTTGGCCCGCGGGCCAATATAAAAACATATTATTTTGATAATTATTATCTTAAATATTGTTCTTTTACTATCAAAATTATTATAATTGCAATTAAAAATTACAACCATTGCAAAATAATTATTAGTTCTATAATAAATATTCAAATAAATTGTTGAAACATACATAGTACGAAGTATATTTTATGTAAAGTTCGATCTATCATTTAATAATTAGTAGTCATGATTTACAAATAATCACTCAAAAAGTTTAAGTACATATTTGCTTTTATACAATGAGTATTCTTGCTACATACACTCTAATAGTTTTCAAATTCTAGTATAACTAGTATGAAGTACGTAGTATTATTTAATACTACATATTTTTTTAAATAAACTTAACAAGTATTGATTTCTTAGTATTTTGATTTCTTATATTTCATATACTACTACTTACTAAAATAAATATATACTTAAGGGTAATTATTTTTAAAGAATAATTTTTTCATATATATTTTTTGCAACGGCCTGCGGGCCAACCCGTTTAGCCCGTGGGTTAGGCGGGTTGGGTTAGGGTTGTAGAAATTCTGGCCCGTCATTAAACGAGTTGGCCCGACCCAACCCACATAAAGCATAACCCGTCACAGGTCGGGGCGGGTTGGGTCTGGTTGGCCCGTTTGACAGCTCTAGGTAGGCTTCCTTATCGTGAACTGCATCCACAAACCTAGTATGCGCGTGTCTCTGGTGTTAAAACTGTAGTATCATTCTTAAACTTAATTTCTTTCAGAGCTCCTTACAATACATTCTTCTTCATTGAAACATTTGATCTAATAGAGTTTCTTGCCATTTTAGTCCTTGCTTTTGCTTCTGTCAATGACTCCTTGTTGAAAACCATTTCTGTTAAAATGATGTTCATTCTTGTTTCAGTCAAGTATCACTGAGCGTCTGAGCCATTCTTCAGGTCACACTATTAACTGAAAACTCTTCCACTGATTGTCCCACTAACAGTAGAGCTCAGTTTTATGTGATTGCCCATACTCTTCCATTGTTCTATGTGTTTGCCCATTTTTTCTTGGAATACATTTCTACGTTTTTAATTACCAAAGCATATTGAATAAGCAGGCAAAACAAACCATTCCTATAAATATGAACATATTTTTGACAAATAAAAAGACACAAGCATGTTCAGTCTCTTTACATTCATCAAACTAACTGATTGAAATATTCCACAAGCTACCAACCTATTTACAATGCTCACATAATTAACTTGCTACATTCATTTATGGGTTCACTGTGGGCGTATGAACTGAGGACCCTACAAATAAGTCGTAGTAATTCCATGACCATTGTGAGCTTGCTAATTGTTCTGGAGTCACTGATGTTAAAGGACATCTGTGTTTGATCTCTTTCAGCCAGGCTAACACCTCTTTTATTGGAGGCCGTTCATCAGCAATGCTTGTAGTACATATTAATGCTATGCGAAGGACTTTGATCATCTCATCTTGAATCTGTGTAATCGGGTGGTTTTGGTTTTGTAAATTGCTATCAATGATAGCCACTGGATCACTTTTGAGTATGAGGAGATGATGTCGAGCCCATTGGACAATATTTTGGCCATCTGGGAATGAAGAATCCACTGGCTTCTTACCTGTTATAATTTCAAGCAGAATCACTCCAAAACTAAACACGTCAACCTTTTCCGTGATTCGCGACGTGCAAGCATACTCTGCATGTCATATTCAATCCAATTATAAGAAACTGAAGTTAGTTTTGTTTAAATTTAACTAAAACATACTTTTTTGGAATTAGATACTAGAAAGCGGGAAAACGTAAATAGCTACCTGGTGCCATGTAACCATATGTACCAGCAAGATGTGAGCGTCTTGATAATGTACCACTTTCATCATTAGCTAATCTGGCCAATCCAAAATCTCCTAAGCATGGTACGTTTTCATCTGATAACAAAATATTGTCACACTTAACATCACCATGAATGATAGGTGGCACACATTCGTGGTGCAAATAGGCAAGGGCTTCGGCAATTCCTACTGCAATGTTGAGTAATGTCTCCCAGTCAACTAACCTTCTGTTACTTTGGCTTAACAATGCGCGTAGTGTAGCTGAGGGCAGATAGTCATAGAACAGAAGGTAGGTCTTCCTATTTGTTGCCCAACCTAAAAACCTCACGATGTTGCGATGCCGGATGTGCCCCACAATAGATATCTCAAACAAGAGTGCAGAGGCCGAAAAGCTCCTAGACTCTTTCATGCATTTCACTGCAATAGTTAGCCCTGCAGAAGTGTTTACTCTATATACAACACTAGTCCCGCCCTCCCCAATAATGTTAGCGGGTGTGAGAGAGTTTGTGACTTGGACTATTGAAAAGTTGTCAATGTTTTGGAACATTGTCACCTCCCAAGGTGATACAAGCTCCAAACCGCCGCCGCTATAACTAGCTTCATTTTGACAAATCTTGTGAAGAATAATAATACAAATAGCTACAACGAAGAAAACACCACCGATGAGTGAAAAAATTATTTGTTCCATTTTGCCATGTTTGCTTTTCTTCAGGTTGCTACAATATTGATCCCCAACTGAAAGACACAACCTCGAATTTCCAGAAAAGTCTTTTACTGCTACTTTGGTAAAGAGTGTCTCGGGAACCTTTCCAAAGAAATCATTGCAAGACACATTGAGAACCATAAGCTCTGTGAGATCAACAAGAACATTAAGTTCTCCTGTGAGCTTATTGTGGGAGAGGTCCAAAGTTTCAAGATTGTCCAGGGCTTCAAAATCTTTTGGAATTAAACCAGAAAGTCTATTCCAGCTCAGATTTAAGCTAATTGCGAGAACTGGAATTTTACTCAAACCGGATGGAATGTTGCCAGAAAACTGATTCCCACTTAAATCAATTAATTCAAGCTTCGAACACAGGCAAAGTTGTGTCGGAATTGAGCCAGAAATCCGGTTCCGTCCTAGAATCAATTTGGTGAGTGATCTTAATGACCCCAGATTAGGACTTAAAACACCTTCAATCAAATTATCAGAAAGATCAAGTTCCTTCAAATTCCCTCCCAATTGGTTAGGTATCGTACCCGAAATAGAGTTGGAGTGGAGGTCTATAAACATTAGGTTCCTACACCTATGTATTTCAGTTGGAATAACTCCCGTGAGTCTATTCAATCCCATGTCCAAGAAATTTAAAATTTCCAAGTTTCCTATCTCCCACGGTATGGATCCTGACAATTTATTCTGACTAGCTCGGAACCAAATAAGCGAAGAGCAATTACCTATTTCCGGTGGTAGGGCTCCAGAAATGTTGTTGGATATTAGTGTCACTACATTCAGGGCCGGAAGTTGGAAGAGACCTTTGGGAATTGAACCACTTAATGCATTATAAGATAAGTCAATATCTTGTAGACTTTGGCATGAAGAAATGTTTGACGGAATGTGTCCCTTTAACTGGTTCCTCCACAGATACAAGAGCTTCAGATTAAACATTTTCCCAATTCCAACCGGTATTGAACCGGATAATTGGTTCTCTGAAAGGTCTATATGCTCCAAGCTTGTAGAATTACACAGATGAGAATGCATGAGACCAGATAAGAAGTTCATCTCTAAAGAAAGTTCTTTTAGATTGTGTAGGTTGCCCAAACTGTTGGGGATACCACCCGTTAAGGAGTTGTTGGAAAGATCAATTCTTTGTAATTGGTGGCAGTTTCCGAGCTCATAAGGAATGCCACCAACAAGCTTGTTCTCCCATAACAAAAGTGTTTCAAGGTTACTTAGATTACCTAGAGTAACCGGAATTGATCCAGAGAGAGCATTCCTATGGAGATGGATGTTCTTCAAAGAAATGCATTCACCAAGTTCTGATGGGATTTTGCCAGAGAGTGAAGCAGAGTAAATCAGTATACTTTTGAGCTTCTTTAATGACCCCAGAGATGATGGTAAAGCCCCTGAAAGACGGGTACTTGAAAGTCCTAAGATGATCAAGTTCTTACATTGTCCAACTTGTGGAGGGAGAGAACCCCGAAGGTGAGCGTTGCCGCCAGCTCGAAATATCTGTAAGTTCTCCAGATCACCAATGGTATTTGGTATAGCTCCAGTTAAGTGGTTGTCATTTAGAATTAACAAGGTCAACTTTTTGAGGAATCCGATTTCGGAAGGAATTGACCCAGTTAATCGGTTGGAGCTCAAATCCAGTTGTTGAAGATTTGGTAGGTGACAAATTTCTCTAGGAATATCTCCAGATAGCTTATTCCCACTAAGGTTTACATATTTCAATGAAAGAAGGCCTCCAATATCTCCTGGAATTGTTCCGGTGAGGTTGATGCGAGTTAGAACAAGTTCTATAACTTCTTGATGGGAGTTACATCTCACGCCATACCAATCACATCCAGAAGCGGAACCAGAATAATTTTTTGAAGGGGGCTGAAAAGCATGTCAAAATCAAGAGGTTTTAAAATATCTATTATTTTTACCCTGATTTTTAGGGTAAAAATGACAAATCGTTCTACAAATATCTGTAATTATGTACTCTCTTGTACTTGATTTCTAATGTAATTATGTACTCTCTTGTACAATTTAGGTTGTTGCACAAATATCAACAACAATATCATTTGATTGAATTGCACACAAAATATTTTTCCATTTATACACACACACACACACACAAATATTCCGGTCAGGAATTTCCTGACCGGAGCCCCGTCAGGCCTCCTCCAATTGGGGGCCTTACCGGTTGTATTTTTTGCTCAAGTTTTTTGTGTATGTTCCTCATCAAGTCTAGTTCATCTATACCAAATTTGATGTGAACTAATCTTAGCCATTGATGTGAAAAATGGATGGAAGAGATCAAATTTTAAGGTTGAAACACGGTGACATTTTTGTAATTATGGGGAACTTATATTGAAAATTTTGTGACAAATGTGTATCAGAATAGTTAAAAAGTACACACGTAGAGTACAAAAATGCAATACAGTATAAAGTAAAAAGTGCAGAAGTTTGCAAACTTTGACAATCTTTTTTTACACGCATGAGTGCACTTTTAATCAGTAACGATCCACTTTATAGTACAAACATTTGCACATTTATTGAAACGGTCTATTGTGATTAAAGTTCATCTCATCCATCTATTTTGAAGTGATCAAAGGTCAAGATTTATTCTCACTTTTCATGGGAAGACTACTTTTTACTTGAATTGACCCATATATATATGTATGTATGTATATATATATATATATAGAGAGAGAGAGAGAGAGAGAGAGGAAAGTTCATGTCAGGCCGGCCTGACGGGCTACTCCGTCCGGTCGAGCCCGTTTGGGCACCTTCCCGGTGGAATTTTTTGATGAAATGTTTTGAGCATGTTCCTCATCAAGTCTAGTTTCTCCATACCAAATTTCAGCTCACAATTCGATCGGGAAGGCATTCAAATTATTTTTTGAAGTTGACTGCAGTTTTATATGTATATTTTGACATAGTCAACTTCAAAAACTGATTTGAATGACTTCCCGATCGCATTTTGAGCTGAAATGTGGTATGGACAAACTAGACTTGATGAGGAATATGCTCAAAAAATTTTATCAAAAAATTCCACCAGGAAGGTGCCCAAACAGGCTCGGCCAGAAGGAGGTTCCCGTCAGGCTGGCCTGACGAGAAGAATACTCTCTCTCTCTCTCTCTCTCTCTCTCTATATATATATATATATATATATATATATATATATATATATATATAGGGTAAGGTTCAAGTGAGAAAAACCCTTTGGGTGAGAAATGAGAATGAATCTCAGCCATTGGATTCGACTAAGTTGCACTAAAAGACACTTCATGATGCACTGGAATATGCAATCTAGCACGGTGGCATTTCTGTAAATACTTCTGAAAAATCCGTATTACACATGTCTAGTGCAACATGAAGCTATTTCGGTGCATCGCCGTCAAATATTAGTGCAACATGAAACAGTTTTAGTGCAACATGTGCAAAATTTAAATATTACTGCAACATAAAGCTAATTTTAAGGCAACTTTAAATCCAATGGCTGAGATTCATTCTCATTTCTCACATTAGATGCATTTCTCACCTGAACCAAAATCTCTATATATATGTATGTATGTATATATATATATATATATATATATATATATATATATATATATATATATATATATATATATTTCTTAGCTCATTTAGAATACCCACTTGTATCGCAAATTGTCATACAGGTAGAGCTAACCTAACAAATTTTGAAATCATAAACTATTAGAAGATGAATTACATACACATTAAGTTTTAAAACAAATAAAACTGATGGAGTATATGGCCCAGGGACCCCGGCCCACAGACTCCTACTTCTCATACATAGGCCCATCAAGCCCAATGAGCACACCAAGTCCAAACACGGCGGCCCAAGTCTCAAGAAGCCCGCAGTGCGCATATGGGTGCCTTCGGCCCTATGGCTGAGGGCTCCAAATCTCACACGACAGCTAGATTTGAGCATGCAAAGCTACTAAGAGAAAATGACAGAAATCAGGAGCCTTCGGCTCATAGGCGCCTTCGGCATAAGGGTAGCCTTCGGCTACACAGAGCCTTCGACCACAGGGGAGCCTTCGGCTACAACGCGGTCATCGAAGATTTCCTTTTGGGGACAGACAACCACCACATTTAGGGTCTGTTTGCAACAGCTTCTGCTTTTAAAAAAGTACTTTTTCTAATGAAATGGGGAGAATCGATTAAATAAAAGTTGATAGTGTTTGAGAAAAAAGTGATTTTGAAAAGTAAAAGTGGGTAGTGTTTGGAAAAATAAGTGCTTTTTGTGTAATAGAAAAAGTAATGGCACTTTTGACGCGGAAGCCGAGAAAAATAAAAGTTGTAGTGTTTGGGAAAATAAGTGCTTTTTAAAGCCAAAAGCTATGAAGTGCTTTTTTAAAAGCAGTTGCAAACCAACCCTTAATGCGGCGTCACATCCACCCCCCGCATTTAATGCGGTGCACATGCGAATGTCGGTGTCACCCCAATTGAGGTGACCCCTCAACCGTTAGATTGTTGACACATGTACTCTCATCGCATTTATGGCTGCTATAAATAGCAGTTCTTATTCTCCTTGTAAAACACGCTGAGATCATTTAATACATTTGGCTCTCTCTCTCTCTCTTACTTGTTTGCTTTGACTTCTCTGTAGTTATTCTACGCAATAACCTCTCGGATAAGCTACCCCGGGCACACTATCCATCAAAAACATATCCTAACAATTTACATATTGGCCATTTCTATTTTGTGAAATTATTTAAACTACTAAAACAATTTAAAGGAGCAGACAAGTTAAATATTATTAAAAAATTAAAAGTTTGAAACAAGGAAATAGAACTATAACAAGAAATTAAACAAATAATTGAGTAATCAAGACACAAATTAAAACAAATTAAATATTATTCAAACGTGGACTTCAAAAAGTTTAATTTGCCTTTTAAAATGTTACATGCTTTTTATACAACCGAGATTCAACGAGTAAGGTCAGTAAACATGTCAATTTTTTTTACGTAAATGCAGGTATTACAAAAAGTGTTAATTATCAAAATAGGACTAAAAGTCACTCATTTTGCAAAAATAAGACCAAAATACAAACTATGTTTCCATATGACTAATTATGTGTGTCTTGGACAAATATACCCTTATAGCTATTGGAATGTTTTAATTCATAAAAAAATAAAAAAAAAAAATAAAAATTCGTAAAAAAATACCAAAAATTAATAAAAATATTTTAAATAATAATAAATTAAAAAAATTGAAAAATAAATAAAAAGAAATAAAAAAATTGCCAAAAAAAAATCGTCGCTGCCTCTGCCACCCCAGCACCACCACCTCCAGTCATATGGGAAAAAATGCCAAATTAATTATGAATGCCATATATTTGGCAGAAGTAAGAGTGATTCAAGTTGGCATTCTCAAAGAGAAATATGCCATTTTTTTGGCATTTTCCGAAAAAAATGGCAGTTCTTAGTAAATATGACTTTTTTTTAACGACTGGAGGCGGTGGCGCAGGGAGGCGGTACCACCACCTCCTCCTGTCGATCACCGGGGAAAAAGATGCCAAATTCATTACGAATGCCATATGTTTGGCAAAAGTCAAAAGGATTCAAGTTGGCAGAATGAAAGTGTTGGCAGAAGTCAAAAAGATCAAAGAATAATATGCCATTTTTTTGGAATTTAAAAAAAGATGGCATTTTTTACATCGATCGGTGGTGGTGGTGCAGAGAGGTAGTACAGGCGGTGAGAGAGGCATCCATATTTTTTTTTAATTTTTTTTTATGGAGTTTTACTACTAGTAATTTTTATTAATTTTTTTTAAAAAAAGTTTTTTGATTTTTTATTATATAAAAATTTCCATATTTTTTTTATTTTTCTACGAATTTTTGATTTTTTTTTGAATTTATTATGAATTAAACATTTAATTATGATTTGATTATGTTTTACTCATATTTAAAGGAGGGTTAAGAATGGAATGAAGAAATAGATATATTTCCAATATGACCAATATGGTCTTATTTTGGAATAAAAACATACAAGTCCTATTTTGAGTTTTTGACATTGTTTTAGTCCTATTTGAAGTAAGAGAATATTACCCGAAATAAGAGTAAAAAATTTTGAAAATTCCAAAATAGGACTGCCACGTTTTTATTCTCAAAATAGGACTAATTACTGTCATGTTTTGGCAGTACCAGACTTCAAACATGACAGTATTTTCCAAACTTGACAGTAATTACTCCTATTTTGGAAATAAAAAACATAACAATCCTATTTTGTAATTTTCACACATTTTTAATCCTATTTCGGGAACTTTCCCTTGAAGTAATTCCTATTACAACGCAATTTATACCGTGCAACCGGCATACCATGTGCATGGTATGCCCGGTTCTAATACGGTGTCGTTCTTATGCAATTACAATCGTTTCCCAAAATTTTATTCTTCCCATGCTTCCACTAACTTTTTTCCACTAACTTTTCTTCCTTGCTTTCTCTATGATCTTGTGCTGCTTTTCGTTTTGAAAATTGAAGCAAGTTCTATTGCTTTGATGTAATAGGCTGCTATGAATCAATTCAGATTTATACTTCGTATAAACTTCTCCGTTCAGATTAATCTAACATGCTTTGATCGATGAGGTTAATTGGTTTTTACGTATAAAATGGAGTTACACTCTTTAATACAAATTTACATCTTAAGTTACATGGAGTTACATCTTTTTATGAACGAGTTACATATTCATGTGCATGAGTTACATCTTTTTATAAGCGAGTTACATTTGGACTTACCTCAACAACTTACATTTGTCATCAACACGAATTACATTTATAATAATTAGACTCTCTTTTTCATTGTTTACATTGAAATCAATGTTTTATTTCGTATACTATGTATTTGACAAGTTACATCTCATTTGGGCTTGAGTTACATTGATCAAGAACTCGAGTTACATATCTTTACACGCGAATTACATCATCCATGCTACTGGGATGAAAATAAAAAAAACACTGTACACGCGTGTACTGTTCACACGAATTTTTATTATTATTTAAAATTGATCAAAACTACGTCGTTTTGGGGTGTGGAGCATGGTGCTCACCATGCTCCGGTTGCACGGTATACGGACTCCTATTACAAAAACTCTAATAGTTTCAATCACTTGCTTAGTTGGTCTCGCACCGTGTTCTAAACTTTCAACCTTTTCTTTTTGTTTGTAAAGTTAAACTTTCAACCTCTGGGTCTAGTAAAAGCTGATAGTATCTCCGTTGTTAAATAAATGTAACATCCTCAATTTTACACTATTCACGTGTTCTATTTTGATTACAATTTATTTATGGAAAAATGGAAATTAATAATCCAACCTTTTAGCGGTCTTCTTACAATAGTCCCACCTTTTGATTATTCATGAATAATCCAACATTTGCATCTCATCTTCATTCACTGGTCCCTGACCGGTTGATGACCTGCTATTCCAAGTTATTTTCTTATCTTTGCAAAATATTATCTTTGTGAAAGGTGAGATTTATTGTATAATGGTTTACAAAGATAAGAAAATAACTTGGAATAGTAGGTCATCAACCGGTCAGGGACCAGTGAATGAAGATGAGGTGCAAATGTTGGATTATTCATGAATAATCAAAAGGTGAGACTATTATAAGAAGACCACTAAAAAGTTGGATCATTAGTTTCCATTTTTCCTTTATTTATTAATGTATTAATATATATTTTTGAAAAAAATACAGTTACATTTGTCTCATTGTATATTTTTAAAATCTAATTTTTTAATTTTTTTTACTAATAGAGATTTATATATATCAATAATCAAAGTTGTGTCTTGATAAGTGTGAAATGTTGATGGTTGCATTTATTTAAGAACGGGGTACTTATTTAGTCTGCGAACAGAGCTGAAACAGAGCTAGAACACTATACAGTACGTAGCCATGGAAAAGAACGGTCAAGGTGGAAGAAGATTAGGGGCGGTATGAAATTAATACCTTGACATTTCCGGCGAAGGGGGGCGCCGGCACCAGCTCGCCCCGGCCAGGTTCGGCCCCTGAGTTCCAGTTACTCAAACCACCGCCGTTTCTAGTTAGACTCATCTTCATACTCAGTAGAATAATGCCTTGCTGATTCAAAGCTGCAGAAAGATGCACAGAAGGAAGGAAAATGATGAAGAAGATGAACATATGAACTGCCATTGCAACAAACAAATAGCAGTTCCTTTTGAGTGATAGTATCTCAGGTGGGAGTGAGGAGTACAAGTGTACAACAGCCATATGGCTTTTCTAATCATTTGTTGGATACTTGGAGGTGTCCAAAAGTGCTCATTGTACAGTCTTTCCTGATATGCAAAATGACATGGAAAGTATATGAAAATTAAATGAGCAATGGATGTGTGCATATCAAAGCAAATAAGCAATGCATGTGATCAAGTACATCCACTTTCAGGCCTAAAAAAAAGTACATCCACTTTCAATGTGTGCCAGCCACTCAGCCCCCAATGGTTTGCCAATACTACGTACAAAAGTTACGTTCTAGTTGCATACATGATTTATACTCTATCAGTCTCTCCGTTTCGCTATTAACTTCCTACTTTAACCTACACACATATTTAGGAAATAAATTTGACTTTATTGTTTAGACACCGTTTGACACTGTTTAGACACTGTTTGACACTGTTTTGCACTGTTTGACACTGTTTTGATGTAGGATAACTTTCCATTTAGGGAAATGAGAAGTTGATTTTGGGACGACCTAAAAAGGAAAACAGGAAGTTAATAGCGGGACGGAGGGAGTATAATTTTTGTACACTCAACTATGTATACATACTGCCTCTGTGATTCTGTCACGCTAATATTGTCTCATTTTATCTTTTCGAGAAATTCCATTAAAATTATCTCATACCAAATTTGTTAAAATTTGTGTGGCTCTAAAACATTCTTACTCTATTCTTACTTTATTAATTTATATCAATCAGATAAATTTGTTTTTCTTAATAACCGTGTCACCCTTCCAGTAAATACTCCCCCGTCCCGAAAAGGTTGGCCAAATTTCATTTTTTGGATGTCCCAAAAGGATTTGTCATTTCCATTTAAAGTAAGGAATATGTATGTGGCTAAAGTTAATTCTCCCTCCTTTGCACCAATTTCAAGCGCACAACTTTTACTTTATTAATTCACGTGAAAGTCAATTTTGGCTAACCTTTTCGGGATGAAAGAACTAGAAGTATAACTTATCAAAAAATTATCATCTACGCATGTAGCTTTTGAGTTTATATTGATGAGTGAGACACAAAAAATTTACAAATCTTGTGTAAAATATATAGCCTCGTTTTATGAAAATAAGAGGGCTATATATTTCTCATAATTTAAATTTTTTGACTACTCCCTCAGATTCATAATAAACTTCTATTTTGACTTTATACGTAAATTAAGAAAGTGAAGAGAAATACTGCTCATAAAAATTACGATTTTTTCCAAAAAGCAAAAGATAGATTAATTTATATTGGGACGAATAGAAAATAAAAGAGTGAAGTTTATTTATGTTGAAACAAATTAATGAAGTAATAATTTTGACTTTGTTGCATTTTATTCTACATACTAGTTATTTCTACGCATATTGCGCGAGTAGGTAAATGCTCAATGTTTTTTCCTTCAAAATATGTATATTGTATTTTGATTTGAAATTAGCATTTTTGTGAACAATTGAGAAATTAGCCTCCACATTTTATTGAACACTTGTTTTAATTTCTATGAAAGATAAACCGGAGAACCAAATATAATATTATATTATTTTAATATTGTGTAATGTAGTATACAATTTTCTAAAAACAATTTTATGTAATGTAGTATTTACAATATAATGTTGTGTAATGTAGTACTCCATATTTATAATTTTCACAAGCAACAGGGGGAATGTCCAATGACCAAAATCGTATTGTTCCTCTATCAACTATCGACCATTGTTATCACTCATCATTACATGGAATCATATGAGGTGTCATGACACCACTAAATGGTGATGATGCTGTCACAATACCCCATATGAATTCATAAGAAAGGTATAGGGAACTCCATAAATATACTCCACTCATCATTCTTATTCAGAGATGAAAAATCTTCTATGTATGAGGCACTATATTCTTTTATAAATTTGTTGTGATTTTTTATGGAACTTTATAAGAAGACAAAAGAAGTATTTATTTATGTATAATCATGCAAATTGTATCTTATATCCTCTCAATTCAGTTCGTAATGAAAATAAGTTTTCAATTTAATATCTTACAATCTTTTAATCATGAAAGAAGGTTTTTTTTTTGCAAATTCATGAAAGAAGGTTAGGCTAGTTTACTTAGAACAAAAAGGTTGGTGTAATCATGTTGCTGACTCCTCCATGCGAACACAAGGGACTCCTAACTTTCTAAACACAGAGGCCCCAAGGATGAAATATTCTCTTTCCACCCTATTTCAAGCTTGAACTATTATCAAAGGGAGCTCCCATTTTATGAAACTCTTGTAGCCCAAATATAAAGTAACTTATGAGTTGAACTTCGAACTCCAACGAAATACATAATTACCAAAGTATATTAATTTTGGATTCGAATATAGATCAATATCTACAAATAATGAATTGCAGTAAGGATGTTTTCTTTTGGACTGTTTTCAGTCCTAGACCAGATCAGACCAGACTTCCGTAGTTATAAAATATACAGAGACCAGACATTTATCAGACCAGATCAGTTCAGACCAGACCAGACCAAATCAATCAGACCAGACCAGCAAATTTCAATCCAAAAGAAAACATCCTAAGTCACGGGATTGAGTTTTAAAAATAGATCTTGGAATGATGGTGAATACATAAACCAAAATGAGTACGAATGTTCCCTATACACTACATTTAACTTATCAAAATCGACTTATTAACCAACATCCTAAGTTTGAATGGCACCACTTATGAAATGCTCAAAATGAATTCATGTGCAATCTCCTTTTCTTGTACTACTAACATACTGTATCAAACCCGAAGTATGTGGAAAAGATAATTGAGGTACATACATTACTTGAAAAAAACTCCTGGTTAGAGTTTTTTTCCTAAATAATGTTGAATAAACAGTTATTTACAAATTTAGAGTTGAGTTAAAAATATATACCAAAGTACCGTTAAGCTCAACTGTAGTTAACAAGAATGAAGAATTGCGGTTCCAAGAATGAAGAATCGCCGAAGCAACCCAGGCAGTTAGGCACCCTAGGATATACTTCTTATAATAGTACTCCGTACTTCGTATGATGGAGGAGAGGCTAGTGGGGCCTAGGATATAAAAAACAACACCTTTTTTCTTCAAAGTTCTATAAAATTTCATTTTTGCTCCAATTTTTATAAAACATACACCAAAATTCATAATTTTTTATGATCTTTCATTTGATATCAATATTTTATATGCAAAATTTAAAAAAAAGTTTTTTAAACAACATTTTCATTCGCTAAAAAAATTCACATTTTTCAATCTTCATACGGATTATTTAATACTCCTTTCGTTCTTTTTATATTGTTTTGTTTTATATTTTTGAAAAATCCCACTAAAATTGTTTCATATCATACTTTCTCCGATCCGTCCCGCAATTAAGTTCTGTGTTTGACTTCACATATATTAAGAAAATAAATTTGACTTTACTGTGGAGTGCACTGTTTTGCACTGTTTGGACACTGTTTGACACTGTTTTGCACTGTTTTGATGTAGATTTATTTGCCAAATAAAAAAGTATGAACTTGTTTGGGACATCTGAAAAAGGAATGTGAGAACTTAATTACGGGACGGAGAGAGTATTTGGTAAAGTTTGGGTGACTCTAAATCTTTCTCACTTTATTCTTACTTTATCAATTAATTAATATCAACAACACAAATCCACTTTTCTTAATAATCGTTTTACCATCTTTCGTCCCAAAATAAAAGGATGGATGTAGTATTAAGTAAAGAAACAACTCTCAGTGTATTACGAAAAAAGGATATTGGATGAAAATGTCACTTGTTAACATTTATTGGCCATAATTATGTTTAAATTTTATATTAAAGTCACTATAAAAGTGTACTCCTATTCAATTGGTCACATTTTTGTTCATAATATTTATTTTAATAATATTTTTTTAGAGAGAAACTCTATTTTTTATCGTCAAAGTGGCTTTAAATTAATAAAATAGCATTCAGCAGGGGTACAAGATAACAAAAGGACCACATGTAACCATCCGCCCTTGGCCGAGACTTTAAGTTAATCACCTTTGACAAAGCAATATAACTCGCTAGACCTCTCATCCTCCAAACCTAATGCAAGAATCTTACAGCATAAAATAAAATAACAACAAAACATAAACATCTTAAACCGGAAATTAAAATGCAGAAAAGATAAATAAACAAACTCCAAACCGCTTCGATCAACCCTTGGCAGAGGTTCTGGTGGGGGGGGGGGGGGGGGGCGTACTATCAGTACCCCACCAATTGATTCTCCATCGACGATCAAAATCTGGAATACGCGAACCTCGTTCATTCCTCCTCGTCCCGCTCTCATAGCATGATCGCCACTAATTGTTTTGTTCTTCGCTGCCCAACCGTGTGAAGCCTCCATCTGCCTTCCCACTTCGCTGAAGAAGATGGCCGATCTCGTCAGAAAAAAGCCTACATCTATGCATGTATTAATCAATACTCATTCCTAGGATATTAAGTGAAAAGACTATTTGGTAAATAGTTGTTCAGCATTGACGATTTTGGGCGGAAATGCTGAAATGAAAAGTCTGCAAATAAGAGAATTTCGAGTTAGCGTTTTGAACTATAGTGTTTGCTACTAATTTTATGGTCAAACAGCTAAATTACCAAACATTTTCTCTCAACCCACCAACTTATTTCGCTAGTCAAACCCACTGACTCAATTCACTATTAACAACTTGCTAATCTAATCTGTTATCCGCTAATCGCTAACAACTGTCAAACCCGCTCATCATTCTAGTAAAAAATATAAGTAGCCATATTCTATAAGAATACATTAATTTTAGTAATATTAGTTATAATTTTCTCGATTACTTAGAGCCCGTTTGGTAGCACAAAAATCGGCTGATTTGGTTTATTCTGCTGGAATTTATTAAGTTCTGGCTGAAGTGGCTGCATTGGCTGATTCTACTAATTTAAGAAAAAATTATTTTTAAAATATATGTTATTAATAAAATAGAGAAAAAATTATATGTAAAAATAGGTAAAATGGTCATCTGTAGTAACTTCAGCTAATACAGCCAGAAAAGTAACTTCAATCTTACTTTTTCTTCTTATTAAATAATTCAGCACGCGAAAGTAAAAATTATGTGTTTGGTGAAAAGTTGACTGATAAGCTCGATAAGTCGAAAAACAGTGCTGCCAAACGGCGTCTTAAGTGTTTTTCCTAAAACATAAGGTTGTTAAATAAGCTTAATTTTTTTAAAGTTTTACATATGCAATATTGGTGTCATATGAAAGATAATTAAAAATTATGAATTTTGATATATTTTGTATAAAAATTGGAGAAAAAATGAAAAAGTTATAGCACTTTTAAGAAAAAAGATTTTTCTTTTTTATTTTGGGCCCCACCTATGACTTCTTTCCTCAATTTCCTACGTGCAGCTCGGTTGCCTATGCGTATTTTAAATATATTAGATAGCACAACACATTAAAGCCTAGAACCTACCACACAAGGTGAAATCTATTGAATTCATGATAATTTGGATTGCAAAAAAAGACGAAGTCTACAAATTAGCACCAGTTTTGTTGAAAATTTTACTGGAGCTTTTTTACAAACATATAATAGGCATTAAAGAACTAAAAAAATCGAAATCTTTCATGCTAGATAAAAAATATATGCAATTGTATGCAAAAGATATACATAAATCAAACACCAATAATAACAATACATGAATATTTAATTTGTAAAAAAGCATTTTAACCAAAATCAAACACCAATAATAACAATACATGAATATTTAATTTGTAAAGAAGCATTTTAACCAAAATGGCATGGAAAAAATGTCCCGTGTGATGGAAATTGGAGATCGAGAAACTAAATGAGATTGGAACCAATTGTGGAGTGGCGGAGTTGCATGCGACGTCTAGGAGCGGGGTTTCATCCAGGAGCCGTTAATGCTAAATAGACGGAAACGAAACGGTAAAGACAAGCATATTAATATAGAGTACAAAAGATAAAGCCTAATGTGCAACTCTATTAAGCAACATGATTACACTAACACTTTTTCCAACCCTAAAATGCCTTAACCCTCATTGAGGATTATAAGCTTTTAAGATTACGGGATTATTTAAGAAGCTCCACTTTGATTGTTTTTTTGTTGATCGAAGGGGGCTTATATTGATAAAATAGCATTCAGCTGTGGTGAAAGATAACAAAAGGACCACATGTAATCATCCGCGCTTTGGCCAAGACTCTGAGTCAATCACCTTTGACAAAGCAATATAAGTCACTATACCTAACTTGGGCAATATAAAGCTAACAACGATTACCGTAGACCTATCATCCCTCAAACCTAATGCAAGAGTCTTACAACATAAAATAAAATAACAACAAAACACAAACGTCTTAACTTGGAAATTTAAAAGCAGAAAAGATAAATAAACAAACTCCAAAACACGTCGATCAACCCTTCGCGATGGTTCTGGAGGAGGCTGAACCCTCACAACGATTGTTGTTGCACCAAAGCGGTTTTCCTCTGACTTGACCGCCTCTTCTTCATCATCATCAATCGCCAATTCGTTCTTGTCCTTTTGTTCACCGCTGATCTGCTCTTAGATTTCGCCCATCGTCATAGCCTCACTTCGCCGAAGAAGGTGATGCGGAAAAGTTCTAAACCCTAACAGGGAGAGACCGATCAGTTTCTCCACGTTCTCTGTACCTAGAGGCGGCTTTGGGGCCATTTTGCCCAGGCAAGTGCCTTGGGCCTCAACGATCAAGAGGTCCTCCAAATAAAAAATACATAGTACTCCTTCCGTCCCGCTATGATTATCTCATTTTACCTTTTCGGTCCGTCCCACTAAGATTGTCTCATGCCTTATTTGGTAAAATTTGTGTGGTTCTAAATCATTCTTACTTTATTCTTACTTTATCAATTCAATATCAACTATATAAACCCACTTTTATTAATAACCGTGACACTTTCTCTTGTCTCAAACTTAGGGGGACGGGGGTAGTATTAGTATTATGTACTCAATACAATAATTGTTCGATACGTGGAATTTGGAATAGGAAAATCATCTAATTAGTACGGCCGCAGACTAGTTACTACCAATCGCCAGCCACTCAACGCTTCCAAAACTCCCATTTTGTCAATTGAACGCCTTACCAAGTTTCTGTAGGCCGCCGACCTGGGTGGGTCTCTAATCGCTCTCGGTCTTTGATTATCTGATTGTTGGGAATTTGACTTCTTCACTTGCTCCTGGCTGTCCCAGTTTGGCCGACTGAAACACGAGATTACTCAGGCTAAGAGCTTCATCCTTCCTCTTCGGCAGTTTGCGGCGGCATGGCGGTTCCTGGGTATCATCTTCTTTAGTTCTTCCATGGCAGCACTTTGTTCTAATCTTATTACCGCAGGTCCAAAACACTTTTGTCGCCAACAGGGAGAAAGACCTGCAAAACATAACAACAAGAAACACCGTGGCTCGAGTCGCGTAAACGCTGTCCTCTGAAAGTATTTCCGGTGAACGGAAATCTTCCCCCAGGATTAAACGAGCCCTTCGACTAATAGTCGGAACCAGAACTACGAGGGAAATCATCAAATTAATAATCCAGCATAAGCTTTGAAAAGAACCCATTTTCTGTGTGTAAAGTATTTGGAGAGAAAAGCTTGTAAGAGTAGTTTTGTTCGATGGTAATCTTAAAATACAGAGCTTCTTGTTTATTAATAGAAAAGGAGTTGGAAAAAATAATTGGTTACTGATCCAAAATTATAGGAGAGAAAGAAGCTCAGCCATCTATTACTCCGTTAGCAAACATGCACGTTAGAAAACGGTTCACTCCAGTTAGTCAAATAAGTGCTCGGTCATTAATTAAATTAGACACTAATTAAATCAAAAGTTTTTATTTGAAATGCTCTATATATATTTCCAACACTGATTTCTCTATTAATTAATCTCCCTCTCTTAATATCTTACTCAGTATTACTTTCTGACTTTCTCTGAATCGATGGCTTCTCTTAACTTCTTTAGCGTAGAATTTAGGCAAATTATAAGGTACACCCGGGTGTACCTACATCTGGTTTTTTTTGTAATTGTTTTAAAGTGAAGGCATATGGTACGGCCGGCATTCTATTTTATCCGCTCCGCTGCAGACTCCTCCCAAGTCCCAAGTCCCACCTCCCGTGCTTAGTGTTGCTATGATCGTATATTCTCATTTGTTTTCAGTTTATTTTTTGTTTTTATTGTTTGCTTCGTATGTTTTTGTTTTTTTTATTGCTTTTTCTCCTTTCTTTTCTGGTTGGTTTTCATTAGCAACCTTCCACTTTCATTACTTTAAAAAAAATACCTTCCACTTTCATTTTATATTCAATACGTAGTATAATATAAAATATTATAAATATATCATTTAATGTCCTAGTTTTGTTTTCCTTTTCCAATCAAACGTCTAAATAAAGTTTTTTTTTATGTATATTATAAACATTTTAGGTATTATTTTTTATTTTTCTATTTTTAATTTAAGATGAATATTTTTTAATTTATTAAATATTGTGTATTAATTACTAATATGAGTTTTGTGTTATGCTCCGTACTAAAATGAGAAATGATACATGTGCAAAAATGAACATTTAAACACATTAGAGAATTCAAACGAGCTTTTGAATTTTTTTATGTTCATTTTGTAAGTTACGTGTGTTCATCTGGTACTGGTTTTATGCTCATTTTAAAATGTCATATTAATGCATATTTCAAAAACTTTATATTAAATTCACATGGGGGCATAGACCATGATACTAAATTGCATGTTTCTGTGTTTCTGATACTCGATAGAAGAGGTTTGATGTTCAATGAAAATGTTTTGATGCTCAACTAACAAATCTTATGATTTTCATATTTGATAGAGTATTTGGTACTCTATCAATATTATTGCTCATTTGGTACGTTTTGTATGCTCATTTGGTACTGGATCTATGCTCATTTTAAAATGCTATATCAATGCATACTATAAAAGTATCGTATTACGTAAGATTCACGTAAGAGTTGATTATAGATACTAGATCGAACACATACCTTGATACTCTATTGCATGTTTCTAATATTCAATAGAAGAGATTTGATGCTCAATGAAAATGTCTTGATGCTCAATTAAAAAAAACTTATAATTTTCATATCGATGCTCATTTTGTAAGTTACATATGCTCAATTTATACTCACGTATGCTCATTTTTAAAATGTCGTATCAATGCATATTTCTAAAGTACTATATTACATTATATTCACATATTGAAGTTTCATAAGAGTTGATTATAGATATAATTTAATAATTTTTATAAAAGAAAAAATAAGAAAAAGAAAATGAATATAAGATATGAAGCAGAGATCTCGATGCTCAATATCAGACTCCTAATACTCAACAGAATTGGTCTAATATTCAGTAAAAGTTAATTAATGCTCATTTAATAGAAACCGTCAATTTCATCTCAATAGAGGATGTTTGATGCTCAATGAAAATGTCGTGATATTCAACTAACATATCTTACGATCTTCATATCAATGCGCATTTTGTAAGTTACTATGCTCATCTCATACTCATCTTATACTCATTTTTCTAAAGGTCATATCAATGTATTTTTTAAAAGTATTGTTCTATTTTGCATTAGGTTCACATATTAAAACTCATAGCAGTTGATTATAAATATAATTTAATAAGTTTTTATAAAAGAAAAAATAATAAAAAGAAAGTGACTTAGAAGTTATGAAACAGAGATCACGATTCTGAATATTAGACTCTTAATACTCAACATAATAGGTCTGATGCTCATTAACAGTTCATTAATACTCATTCACTAGAAATCGTGATTTTCATCTCAATGCCGGAGGTTTGATGCTCAATTAAAATGTTGTGATGTTCAACTACCAAACCTTACAATTTTCATATCAATGTATACTTTGTAAGTTATGTATGCTCATTTGGTTCTGATGTTATGCTCATTTTGAAAATGCCATATCCATGTATATTTCAAAAGTATCATATTACATTAGACTAGCATATTCAAATTAATATGAGTGAATTATAGATATAATTTAATAAGTTTTTGTAAAAAAATATTAAAAAAGAAAAATAATTAGAAGATATGAAGCTGAGATCGTTATACTCATTGTTAGCCTCATATTACTCAATACAATAGGTCAGATGCTCATTAAAAGTACCCTATTGCTCATTTAGCGATCAATAAGTTTTAATGAGCATCAAACCTATAACGTTGAGTATACGAGCCTAATTTAATCTGGAGTCTAATTTAAATAATTTAATTACATTACACTATTAAATGAATATATTTAAATGCTTTGTACAATTCTTTGGTTTACCGACAATTTGTATAGACTACACAAAAAAATCTAATTTTTTTAAACAAATTATTTATGCCATGATGGAAATGTAGAAAACACATACAAATGTAGGAAACGCATACAGAATACTCCGGCTGGGAAGAAAATCGCAAATGGAAAGGAGGCATGGGAAGAAAGTCGCTCCAGTAAAATTTGTGTCCTATGGTCGCGATTCGCTTGGAAAATCAACGGCTTAGTAATGGAGATCCTGATCTGGGAGAAAATGTCAGCCCCCAGTCAAACTCAATAATTGAGTCAGCCCACTAGTCAAACCCAATAATTGGGCCGGATGTACGTACACCCGGGTGTACTATATAGGAACTCTAGAATTTAGCAACTAAAATAGGGAGTTCTAAATAAGAATAATACTATGTAAATGTCAAGATAAGGTCATAGGATTTTGACTTTCTAGAATTTGAATTAAATTTCTAAATGGCTAAATGCCTAAATAGTAAATACGTAGTCTTAATCTTAAATATATACGGAGCATGTATTAATGTGAATGCTATGAAGTACTATCTGCTAGAGGTATAAACTTAAATAGTTAATATGTTAATTAAACTTATAAGTTATGAAATTATGTATAATGATTATAATTAAAAAATTATTGGGGTAATATTGCTATATTAGTATTTTATGGATTAGATTATATGACATAGGTCTGAATTAATTAATTTGACAGTATTGGAAGTACTAAATTAGTTATTTTTGTTTGATTTGTCATCTTGTTTACAATTTTTGGGGTTTTCTAAATTGATTTGTTTGTGATTTTTGTATCATTTATAAATGTATAGTTATTGTCATAACGGGCAAACGGAAATTCAAGTCGGGATGTATAAAGAGAAAACAATTGATTGGTGAAACTTCATGAACTTTTCCTTTTTGACATTCATGTTATATCGTGCAATTTGAATATGCTTTTTATATGGTTTTAATTTTTTTTTCAATTTATCTCATTTTCAATGTGATTTGTATATAGTAAAAAAATTGTCTGGGGCCCAGGGGCGGCTATGGGGGGAGTTACCCTAGGCAAGGTGCCTAGGGCCTCCACCTCTAAAGGGGCCTCATTTTTAGTAATGTTTTTATAAAAATAATAAAATAAATAAATAAATAGTAATGACATAAAATTGTATTCAAACTAATTGTAATTAAACTAAGTGATTTATAATGCTAAAAATTTTATAGACATGTGAAAAGTTCTACTGATTAATTTATGTCCTTATATTATTAAATTTATCTTTAGTTATGCCAAAAATTTAGATAATTTGCTTTTATATTTTTCTTAAATAATACTGCATTCTTTCCTTTCTATTCAGCCAAATTTGATTTTGCAAGTCAATGATGTTAAAATTTGACCAATTATATAATTTTTGGTTGTATTGATAATATGAAAATGATATGAAGATGTCCTTTATTAAAAATACTATCATAAAAGTATAGATTTATTAGGTTATGTGAAATTTATACATTTTACACTTTATGAAATTAATTTTGACATTGAAACATTTGTTTTGAAAGTAAATTTTGTTTGGATTGATAGAATATATAATCACATTTATACAATTATTTTGTTTATTGTTTTTATTTATAGAATTTTCGCAATGCTCTTTTGCCTAGCCGTCTAGGGCCTCGAATTTTTTGAGGCCGCCTCTGCTGGGGCCTCCAAATTGCTGAAGATGCCCCTGTCCGTACCTTGCACTGCTCGGCTCTCCTCTTTTGGGTCAAGTTGATCGCCAATCCCCTGCTTATCGACGCCAGCCATCTCCATCTGTAATCGTCCTCCTTCGATCTCGATGCCCAAGCCCTACGGAGAGGGAGAACCCGCATGTGAACGGCGGGATAAACCAAACCCTACAGAGAGGAAGATTATTTCGGTTTGCTCGACTTTGATTGTTAAATAAATGATAAAAAGAATCTTTCTGACTAGTAAGTAGATGACAGATGGGGTATTTGTTTTGCTAATGCCATTTGTAGTCCATAATAATGCTCAATAATCGATCAACTTTGCTACTTGTAATCCCTCTTATACTCACTCTTATATAGGGATAAACTAGTGCTGGGTTGGGCGTGATCTCGACAAGCTTTTTTTTTTATTACAAAATTAGGCCCTGTACCAACCCGATTTGTACCGGTACTGGTTCTGGCCGGTCCAGGTACCCGGCCGGGTCTCGGGCTGGTCCCAGGTTGGGCTGGGCCGGTCCTTTGATATTTTTTTTAATTAATTGAACAAGTGCTAGATATTAAAAATTAAATTATTTATTTGAAATATGAGGTACAATTGAGAGTTGAGAATAATTTAAATCATTAAATACATTTTCTATAAATCAGTCAAAACCTCTGCCAACGTCGTTTGTTGTTTCCTCCATAAAGTGGTGGTCGGGGGCGATACAAACTACTTGAGTTCTATGTCGGGCCTTCAACCAATCCTGGAAGTAAATGAGCATCTCGAAAGATTGTGAGCTCAATGTCATTCTATAATCCATTAGGACGTTGCCGATTTTGCTAAATTCTTGTTCCACGGCTACTGTTGACACCAACATTGATAGCACTTGCTTTACCATCTTTGATAAAACCAAGAACATTCCTTCTTTGTCCTTGCACCACTGAAGAACGTCAAAGTTATCCCCTTCTTCATACTCAACATGAAACATTACATATAAAGAAAGCTCGTTCATTGAGTTTGTGCAACATCGGAAGTTGTTTTATTTTCTTTCATAAGATTACAAAATGTAGATTTGAAAAGTGTTTTTCCTTTAGATGAAAAACTTGTTGATTTTAGGAGAAGGGTACGTTATTTAATGTGCATGAAACTCATTAAATAATTGATGAAATGAGGTATGAATCTCGTTGTATTGCTCTTTAGGATCCATGGACCTATCTTCATACATTGGTAATGGACCGAAAAACAAGTATAGTAGTACTCTATACAATTTTGATAAACAACAAGTTTGAAACGAGGATCAAGAACAAAGACAATACCATATTAGGCGGAATATATGTATAATATTTTAAAAACTTTTCTTTCAAGAAATCACAAAAAATGAACGTAAGGGGCAGTTTAAAATTCAGAAAAAGCACCAGCGAGATTAACAGTTTCAACAAAAAATTGGTTTGCTATAGATTGATAAACATGACTAAAAGTTAGAGTTGCATTCTTAAAAAAAATAAAACTTGGCAAGTTTTTTATAGTGACGATCTCAGCCAGATTTATTACTACCTCTGTCCCTTAAAACTTTGCCAAGTTAGACCGGCACGGGGATTAATAAAGTAAAAACTGTGTGGTTGAGGTTTGTGCAGAGGAGAGAGAATTAACCGGAACCATAAATTCTTTACTAAAAAAAGAAATGGCAAAGTTAGTGGGACATCCAAAAAAGGAAAGTTGGCAAAGTTTTAAGGGACGGAGGGAGCATATAGTTAGTAGCTTCTTTTAATAAAGTAGGGAATTGAACTTTAAATCTAAGAAGTAAAACAATTAAGTTATACTTCCTCCGTCCCAATTTGTAACATACATTACGGTTTACGATGTTTGACTGACGATAAAACAAATTAATCCCTGTCAACACTCAAATTAGTTCTAGAAAATAAAATTTACATATTCAGAAACTACATTAAAACCGCTACAAAGTCTGGAAAAAATAATTCAAAGAGAGAAAAACTATAGAATTTACATACTCAATCTGATATTGCAAGAAATCCAAGAAATTATGGGGGCACTAGCACGAGCGAAACTGGTTGAGAAGTCTACTGCTTGAAAGAGAGAAAAACAACCCGAAATCCCGGGAGCTTACCCAAAGAAGGTTTCTTTCCTTTTAATCCCAGGTCTACGACGTTTTTTATGTTTGAGCCTTGCGCTTCCCAGGCTGAGTCGAGTAACAAGGGGGCTGCCTTGGATGCTTGAGTCGAGTAACAAGGGGGTTGTGTTCGTTAGGTCAGTAAGGGTAAATTAGATAATTGATTTATTTTAATAATTTTTATTTAATTTAGTGGCTGTGTTTAGTAAAAAGGTACGTGGCTCTATATAGAATTACTCTAAAAATACTCCTGAGTCCTATCTAAGCAATAGAAAAGAAGGGCTCCTATTTAGGAACTTAGGCCTTGTTTTAGTCCTATCTTTTACCATTTCTCATGAGTAAAGTTCATGAAATCAGAACAAACAAAATTCTTTCAATCGACGCAGCACCGCTGGATTGTCATGGTTTGGATGTAGCTCGGGATGGATGATCGTGGCAGAGAGAAGATGGTGGAACAAGCGAGGGAGAGACGTAGGGATGATTGGGACATGGTTAGCGTGGAGCCGTGGAGAGGCTGAACGCTCCATTCGATGGCATGAATTTGGGTCATACGGCGGGTACACCACTGAAAGAGGGTATCAATTGAGCGACAGTCCGACCTCCGCCTGAACCACTTCCATGAGTTGTACGAGGTGTTAGAGTCCGAGAAAGTTTTCCTAGTAATTTTTTTCTGTTTGTCATTTGTTTTCTTGTGTTCATCTTTGTTGTTGGTTTTGACCATTTGTTTAAGTTTTTAGCCTCTCTTTATGTCATTAGGTATGGTTGGATTTATGAGAACAGGTTTGGCTGTGTCAAGCCCACTACATGGTTAGCGATTCATGTTGCTCTTTCAGGGGTAACCGTCTCAAAGTCTCACCATAGGATTACAGTCGCAGTTATTGGAGTTTCAGTTGGTGTTGGTTTTATTTTTCTTTTGCTTGATATAATGATTCTGGATCTTTTGATATGAATAGAGACCTGTTTTGATGATCAAAACAAAAAGCGTAAATAACAATATTGATCTGAGATTTTTTTTTTGTAATGTTAGGACATACTCCGTATATGATAGTTTTTGTTTCCAGTTTTACACATTGTATACCACAAAGTATGAGCAAAATTAACTCACAAAAAAATGTCAAAATTTGTGGGTGACATCCTTTTTCAAGATTAGTATTGTTTTCTGTAAACAAAATTTAGATGAATTGAATGAATAGTAGATACTCCTAATATATGATCAGTCGAAAATAAAAAATACTCCTAATATAAATGATCAGTCCAAATTCCAAAATAGTTCATGAACTTAGGTCCTCTGAAAAAAAAAAAACAAGCTAAGGTCCCAAAAAAGTTGTCCTTTATTTTATCAATGGATATTGGAAAAATAGGAATATGTAATTGTGATGTAGAAATTAATAGCGAAATTCAGGGATTATTATGAATGGGTGGGGCAGACTTTGAAGACTCATAATCCACTTGATCATCTTCCGGTGTGTTAGTAACCTTGCGATGTTTTTTAGGCTGCAAATTGCGACTGTATTTATCAGCTCTTGATCTGGTTCCAGCAATTGTGTTGTGGCATGTTTGGCTAACACAATCAAGAATGTTTCCTGAATCATAAAAAAGTGCACATTCACAATAATGCCCCGGTTCAAATAAAAAAATCAAAGTCATATCACTTCCTTGCAGAGTCATATAGTCCGTACGTAATAGATTATTCTGGCATTATTATCACCTCTTATGTTTTTAGTATGGGTTAATTTGAGTTTGCACCCCATTTTATTGTCCAAATTGGACTTTGCACCCAATTTTTAAAAATTTTTGCTTTTGCACCCCAATTCCATATGAAAAGACAAAACTGCCACTCGATTAACAATTCTGTTGGCCTTCAACACATTCTTGATCGAGGGGCATTTTTGTCTTTTCATATGGGGTTGGGGTGCAAAAACAAAGACTTTTAAAAACGGGGTGCAAAGTCCAATTTGGAAATAAAATGGGGTGTAAACTCAAATTAGTATAGTCCATTACAAAAATGATTTTTGTACTCATTCTTATACCCACTCATGTTCGTGAATGTTTTTAACTTTTTTTTGTCTCAATATTTTTTTGTCCTTGCAGAGTCATATAGTCCGTACGTAATAGATTATTCTGGCATTATTATCACCTCTTATGTTTTTAGTATGGGTTAATTTGAGTTTGCACCCCATTTTATTGTCCAAATTGGACTTTGCACCCAATTTTTAAAAATCTTTGCTTTTGCACCCCAATTCCATATGAAAAGACAAAAATGCCCCTCGATTAACAATTCTGTTGGCCTTCAAGACATTCTTGATCGAGGGGCATTTTTGTCTTTTCATATGGGGTTGGGGTGCAAAAACAAAGACTTTTAAAAACGGGGTGCAAAGTCCAATTTGGAAATAAAATGGGGTGTAAACTCAAATTAGTATAGTCCATTACAAAAATAATTTTTGTACTCATTCTTATACCCACTCATGTTCGTGAATGTTTTTAACTTTTTTTGTCTCAATATTTTGTTTGTACAAAATTACACAGACAAAATAACACATACTTTGTTTGTGAACTGAATTCATAGACAAAAAAACCTTCACAAACATGAGTGGGTATAAGAGTGCATACATCAAACATTGTTAATTCCATAATGGTGCCACAATATCAGTATGACACCCTAAATTAAAGAAGTTGTATGATACATTAATAAATACAGTAAACCATAATCAAATAGAACATGTGAATAAGGTAAAATTTAACAAATTACGCTTATTTAAAAATGATGGTAAATTTATTTAAAAGGGCAACAAACTTTTTGGAGTATGCAGCACATCATATAAAAAACAGATCATGCATGCATGCATGTCGTGATGTGAGTATAAATTAATTAGAATTATGCATCAGATCTTTCATCTATGTAGTGTGTATTATTATTTTTACATATAATAATATATACTAGCTAGTCTCTGATCTGTCAAGCATTACTATACACCGCTTGTGTATTTGTTTCTCATGTGCTACTATACACAAATAGTGTATTACTCCGTATATCAGACTATATGTTTATTAATTACCTTTTGTTCCAAGCAGTGAAGCACTAAGAAAGAGGAGCAAGACAGCCAACACAAGATTGTTCCTCATTGCAGCGTGCGTTGATCTCTTCTTTAAGTTCGAACATATGCAATCTCTTATACGGAGTATATACATATTACATATATATAATACACCGCAACTATTTTTATTTATAGTACTATATAAACTACGACCGTATCATGATTTCATTTTATTGGTAATAACTACCAAAAATAATACATATACTCCGTGTATATGTGTGTATTATACTACTACCGTATCAAATGATTGATTTCATTATATTGCTAAGAATGGTAACTACCAAAGAGAATGCGTAGTATAGACATTCACTTTTAGTATAAAGATAAGAGTCCCGTTCTTGTCCAGCCGGCCTGACGGGAACCGCCGTCCGGCCGAGGGCATTTCGGGCACTTCCCGATCAAATTTTTTGATGAAATTTTTTGAGCATGTTCTTCATCAAGTCTAGTTTATCCATACCAAATTGAAGCTCAAAATTCGATCCGGAAGGCATTCAAATAATTTTTTAAAGTTAACTCGGCAGTTTATATGTATGAACTGCCCAGTTAACTTCAAGAAATTATTTGAGTGCCTTCCCGATTGAATTTTTAGCTGCAATTTGGTATGGATAAACTAGACTTGATGAAGAACATGCTCAAAATATTTCATCAAAAAATTCCACCGGGAAGTTCCCGAAATGCCCTCGGCCGGACGGCGGTTCCCGTCAGGCCGGCTGGACATGAAAAGTCCTCTAATAATAATTTATTCCCTTCCTTTTCAGTTACGAATGCTATTCTCCATGTACGTGAAATCCTGTTTCTCGAATTTCTGATTATCTCCTCCTCCCCAAAAACTCCCAAGCTCCATTAATGGCTAATAAAGGTTCGTTTTTCTTTACGTATTTTTCGTTTTCTTTTACTTTTTGTTTCGTTTTTCTGATTATCTCCAATAATGATTTGTTGCTCCTTTTCCTTTTCGTTTTGTTTTTTTTTTTAATTTTCTTGGATAAGCTTCATTGTGTTTCATCGTTAGTCCTGTTCACTTACGTGTGTTTCATCGTTAATCCTGTTCGCTTACATGTGTTTCATCGTTATATTTCTAAGTTTCTTTATCAACTAAGTTTCATCGTTACTTTTCATCTTTTATGTTGGTTTTTCTTTATTTCCACGTATTTTTTGTTTTGTTTGTGTTATAATTTCTTTGAATAACTTTCATCGCTTATGTTTTCTTTTTATTCGTGTAGAAGCTTTACAAATATCTCCTGGGTTAACCAAGTATTGGATCGCTGAATGTGATGACACATTCAAACCAAGGCTGGGCATGGTATTCAAAACCATGTGGGTGCTTGTGTGCAATAGAGCCGGTTTCAAAAATGCTGCTAAACCAAATTCGGTGGAAACCAGTCATGCTCTCGTGGTTAGCGCTATTAGTAATGAACAGCTGGACCAATAATATAATTGTTCACCCTAATTGGAAAATATACAAGATAAAAGCCCACACTCACAACAATTGTTAGGAACAATAAGAGAACCTCAAAAGTGAACCATAAACCTCTGGACCAGTTAGATTATAACGGCATTCTAGGTACCGCAACAATAAGATGTTCGTAAAACCAGCACAAAATAATTACTAGGTTATACTATTTCTGTCTTTTAAAATTTTGTCAAAGTTGACCGGCACGGAGAATAATAAAGTAAAAACTGTGTGGTTGAACTTTGTACAGAGGATAGAGAAATAACAGAAACCACAAAATAATTGATTAAAAGTAAAAGTGACAAAGTTCTTTGGGACGTCCCAAAAAGGAAAGCATTTGTGTAGAGCTCAAAATAAAAATTAAGGATTCGAGTCTTTCAACCTCAGAACCCTGAACAAACAAGATAGTGAATAAATAATTATCATCAAAAATAAAACAATGCACCCAGTAAATTCGCTTTACGTGAACTTAACAAATATATGACCATACAAAACAATGCACCCAGTAAATTCGCTTTACGTGAACTTAACAAATATATGACAATACCTATTGTCCAAGGGATATGTGGAATGCAACCCAGCTTCATCTGTTTCATGGCCACTATTTCTTCAGCTTCCCTATGTACAGAGTTTATTACAATTTATATAAAACACAATTCTTTTTTGTTACAATGGCAATTTATGCCTTTCTCTTCTTTATCTTTTGTTTTCCTTTTATGCTTCTGTCTACAGCTTTGAATCAGCAAGGCAGAGTACTACTAAGTATGAAGATGAGCCTAACCAGAAACAATGGTGTTTTGAGTAATTAGGACCCAAGAGGCATCACCCTGTGTGGTTGGTATGGAGTGAGAGATCTAATTCCGATCATGAAATTATAAAACTTGTTCTAACTTGCACCAACCTCACTCGAACTATTCCCGGTGACATTGGAGGCCTTCTTTCATTGAAGTACATAAACCTTAGCGGGAATAAGCTATCCGGTGATAATCCTAGAGGAAGTTGTCTCCTGCGAGATCTTCAACAACTTGATTTGAGCTCCAATCGATTTACAGGGTCAATAGCTTCTAAAATCTGATTCCTGAAAAAATTGACCTTGTTAATTTTATATGAACAATCACTTGGTTGGAGCTACACCAAATACCAATGATAATTTGGAGAATTAATAGATATTTCGAGCCGACAACAACACTTACCACTGGGGTTCTCTCCCTCCACAACTTGGACAATGTAAGAACTTGACCATCTCAGGACTTTCATGTACCCGTCTTAAGGAGCTTTACTTTGCTTCACTCTCTGGCAAAATCCCATGAATGCATTTCTTTGAAGAACATCTATCTCCATAGAAATGTTCTCTCTGGATCAATTCCGGCTACTCTAAGTGATCTAAGTAACATTGAAATGCTTTGGTTGCGGGAGAACACGTTTGTTGGTGACATTCCTTATGAGCTCGGAAACTACTACCAATTACAAAGCATTGATCTTTCCAATAACTCCTTAACGGGTTGTATCCCCGACAGTTTAGGGAACTCACACAATCTAAAAGATCTTTCTTTAAAGATGAACTTGTTATCGAGTGTTCGAGTCTCATGCATTTTCATCTATGTAATTCTACAAGCTTATAACATATAAACATTTCATAGAACCAATTATCGAAATCAATACCTGTTGGAATTGGGAAAATGTTTAATCTGAAGCTCTTGTATTTGTGGAGGAACCAATTTTACGGACACATTCCATCAAACATTTCTTGAATCCCCAAAGGCCTCTTATAACTTTGGAAGCTGAATGTAGTGACACCGATATCCAATAACCTTTCTGAAGCCCTACTACTGGAAATAGGTAACTGGTCTTCTCTTGTTTGGTTTCCAGCTAGTCATAATAAATTGTTAGGATCCATACCGTTGGAGATAGGAAACTTGGAGAATTTAAATTTCTTAGACTTGAGAATGAATAGACTCGCCGGAGTTATTCCGACTAAAATATATAGGTGTAGGAACCTAATGTTTATCGACTTCCACTCCAACTCTATTTTGGGTACGAATCCTGACCGATTGGGAGGAAATATTTGTTTAAAAGAACTTGATCTATCCAATAATTTGATTGGAGGTATTTTAAGTCCTAATCTGGAGTTATTTTAAGCTCACTCACCAAATTGATTTTAGGACGGAACCGGTTTTCTGGCTCAATCCTTGCACAACTTTGCATGTGTTTGAAGCTTGAATTGAATTATTAAGTAGGAAACAGTTTTCCAGCAACATTCCATCCGGTTTGAGTAAAATCACAGTTCTAGAAATTACCTTAAATTTAGCTAAAATAGACATCCAGGTTTAATTGGAAGCGTATATAGTACCACCGGTTGTACGGTGCTCACCGTACAGCCGGTGGCATTTTTGTAATTTATATGAAATTCGCGTCTCGTACTAAATGAGTATTAAACCACGCCTAGTGAGCAAGTGACATATTTTGTTGAGCATTAGAAGCATAACATTGAGCATCGTGATCTCTGCTTCATCTCTTCGAATTTACTTTCTTTTCCTTATTTTTTTCTTTATAAAAACTTATTAAATTATATATATAATCAACTCTTATGAACTCCAGTATGCGAATTTAATGCAATATGATACTTTTGAAATATACATTGTTATGTCATATTACAAATGAGCATAACATGAATACCCGTTGAGCATACATAACTTATAAAATGAGAATTGATATGAAAATCATAAGTACTTTTAATTGAACATCAAGACATTTTTATTGAGCATCAACTTGAAAAGTATCGCCAATGATTTTCATTATGCGATTGTGATGAACATTGAGTCTGTTCTTTTTAATTGAGCATAAAATAACACCAAATGAGCATATGTAACTTACAAAATGAGTATCAAAAGATTTAAAAGTCCATTTGTGTATGCTCATTCATTTTGACCTTATATTCATTTGAGTTTAACATTAATATGATACGTTTGAAACGAGTATAAAGAGGTACCAAATGAGCATACATAAATCACAAAATGAGTATAAAAAATTCAAAAGATCATTTGTGTATGCTCATTCATTTTCGGTTGTATACTCATTTGAGTTTTACATAAAACTCATTTTTAATATGCTCGATATTTATTTGTGTATGTTCATTCTTTTTAAGCTCATACTCATTTGAGTTAAATATAAACTCATTTCAGATTCGTCATCAAGAAATATGAACTCAAATCTCCTAAATCATCTTCCAATTTGTCTTCCCTGCATACTTCTTCCCGACCAACAAAGAAATCACCTAGAGCCGCCGTCTCTTGCGTAGCTCTGCTAGAGGAGAAGAGAGTGGCGAGAGGAGAGCTTGAGGAGAAGAGAGCTTGAGGAGAAGAGAGCTGTCAAAGGAGTTGCCTGCTTGGAGCTTGAAGTTCTTCGCAAGCACCGCAGAAGCAGGACGAAGCAGGGACGGAGATCGGAGAAGCCAGGCGAGAAGCAAGGAAGAAGATCGAAGAAGCGCAGAAGTCCTAAAAAAGACCGGCTGTACCGTGCGCACGGTACAGCCGGCTGTACGGTGTATTTTACCGGTTTAATTCCAAGGCAAAAAGACATCAATAGGAGTAAAACAAGTACCGCGAACTTACACTGGAGATCGATTGTAACTCTTATTTATGTTCATGGCAATTGTTTTACTCTTATTGAAGTCTTTTTCACTTGGAATTAAACTTGAAAGTATATTCCAACTTAGATTTAAAGAAATTGCAAGAACTAGAATATTACTCAAATCGGAAAACTGATTCCTACTTAAATCAATCAATTCAAGCTTCGAACATAGGCAAAGTTGGATCGGGATTGAGCCAGAAAATCAGTTTCGTCCTAAAATCAATTCGGTAAGTAAGCTTAATGACCCCAGATTAGGACTTAAATACCTTCAATCAAATTATTAGAAAGATCAAGTTTCTTCACATAAACATTTCCGTCCAATTGGTGAGGAATCGTACTCGAACTAGAGTTGGAGTGGAGGTCAATAAACATTAGGTTCTTGCATCTATGTATTTCAGTCGAAATAATTCCAGTGAGTTTATTCAATTCAGGTCCAAGAAAGTTAAAATCACCAAGTTACTTATCCCAACAATATGAATTCTGACAGTTCAATCTGACTATGACGAAACCAAACAAGCGAGGAGCGGTTACCTATTTCCACAGGTAGGGCTCTAGAAAGGTTATTGGATATCAGTGTCATGGCATTCCTCTAAAAAGGCTTTTGGGGATTGTACATGTGAATGCAGTATATGACAAGTCAATATATTAGACTTTGGCATGGTGAAATGTTTGATGGAATGTGTCCCTCAAACTAATTCCTCCAAACATACAAGAGATACAAGAGCTTTAGATTACACATTTTTTTCAATTTCAACCTGTACTGAACCGGATAATTGGTTCTCTGAAAAGTCTATATGCTCAGCTTATGAAAATAAATAGATAAGAATACATGGGACCAAATGGCGAGTTCATATTTAAAGAAAGCTCTTTTAGAACATGTAAGTTCCCTAAACTGATGGGGATACCACCGCTTAAGGAGTTTTTGGAAATATCAATTCCTTGCAATTGGTGACAGTTTCCGAGCTCATAAGTAATGTCACCAACAAACTTGTTCTCCCATAACGAAGTAACTAAAGTGTTTCAAGGTTACTTCGATTACCTAGAGTAGCCAAAATTGATCCAGTGAGAGCATTCTTCTGGAGATGGATGTTCTCAAAGAAAGGAATTCAACAAGTACTAATAGGATTTTGCCTGAGGGATGATGGTAAAGCCTTTGAAAGACGGGTACATGAGAGACCTAGGATGGTCAAGTTCTTGCAATATCCAATTTATGGAGGGAGAGAACCCTAAAGGTAGGCGTTGCGACCAGCTTGAAATATCTTTAAGTTTCCAGATCACTAATGTATTTGGTATAACTTCAATCAACTGGTTGTCATGCATATAGAATTAACAAGGTTGGCTTTTTCAGTAATCCGATTTCAGAATGGATAGGCCTTGTTAATCAGGTAAAACTCAAATCAAGCTATTGGAGATATGACCAGTGACAGATTTCTTCTTATTCTACTAACTAAGGTTTATGTATTTAGTGAAAGAAGGCCTCCAATGTTTATGAAAATAGTTCTAGGGAGGTTGGTGCGAGCTAAAACAAGTTCTATAACTTCTTAATCGGAGTTACATCTCACGCCATACCAATCACATGGGGTGATGTCCCTTGACTCCTACTTAAAACACTATTATTTCTAATTAGGCTCATCTCCCAGTATAGAATTGTCTTACTATTTCAAATCTATAGAGAAATGCATAAAAGGAAGAAAAATGATAAAGAAGACGTATAACCTGCCATTGCAACAAAAAATAGGAGTGCCTTAGAGTAAAGTTTTCTTCTCAGCTCTAATGTGGGAGTGATTTAGTGAGCAGTACAATATATTGCTGCTGGCTTTTCTTATTTCTTGGATAAAATTGTATTCTCCCATACAGGATATTAGTTGAAACTTTTTGCAGGATGGAAAATAGTTCATCCAATTCCAACAGCCTGCCAGACTGCCTTAGCTTGTCTCTCCTTCCAGCTCTCTTTTATTTTTCTGCCCTCTTCAACCGTAGTAAAATCCCTATTAAGATTGATTTGAAATGTACCGGGGTTCCTATCATCTATGCACTCTTATTCAATGAATTACTTGAAGTAGTGAATCACCGTCCTCTGAGTTGGATCGCTCAAGGATCTGTTATTGTGTACGCGTAGTAATCAAATTCTATTGTGAAGTAAGAATATTATTTGTCTTTTCTTCTTTGTATTTACTTTAGTCATCAATAACACAAAAACTTTATTGTTACATCAAATCATTTTACCCCACATCAATAGGTATAGATGCCTTCTCGAATGTAGAAAAATGTAGACCCAGTCCTCCGTAGTTGGCAAATAATGGAAATAAATACAAGGTCTAGCATGGGGTGTCATCCTTTGGCTTTTTCACTCTTGCATTGGAGTGGAGTGTGAATGCACTCCATTTTACTCAGTATTATATTAGCCCCACATAAAAATAGATCTTGTTCAAAATAATTAAGGGAAAAAAGTCGATTGGGACGGGTTCTGTTCTACGGGCCTGCCTGAAAGCTTGAAGATTCTGCTTTTACTTGCACATTACTTCCTCCGTATCATCATGATTGTCGCAGTTGGATTTTGATACATTGAAAAAGGAAAAGGGGGACAATAAAAGTGATACGGAGAGTATTTTTTTAGTTAGTTTTGTACTCCATTAGTTACGGTGTTTGTGACATTCGAGTCACACTTTGTTTCGATTATCTTCATTTTAGTTGTTAAGAATCAGGTTCAAATTTGGGTGAACGATGAGGAATCTAGATTTATCGAAGAGTCGGTCTAGTGATTGTTCTACCTCGAGTTCCATTGTCATAGACAATTTGGATTAAAACTCGTTCTTATATATACGTGTGTAATCCACACCTACTAGCTTCTATTGGAACACAATTCTAATTCCTATTATTGACACGCATGTCATTTCCAATTACACAAAACAGCTGGTGACATTAAAATCACCAACAATCTTCCCCCCCCATTTTAGTGTAACCCATAAAAGGACATAACAAAGTTTACAAACCAAAACTTGTACATAAATGAAAATGTCGACACGATTGAATTTTCATCTTAGTATTTTACGCATTCCAAATATTCGAGAATCGGGGTTTCCTGTGGATTGAACTCGTCAACCCATTTGAATACCTGAAGATAAAACACATACAAGTTTCTATACTCAACTAGAATACAAACTTGACACAATTATAAAGTCGTGTGTCCTAATCCCATTCATGACCGTATAAAAGCCAAGTCCCAAGCCTTTTGAAGCACGGCTACACTTCACGATCATATAGGTAATTCCTGTATTCATGAATTTGCTTACATTTTATCAAAGGAATTATTAAGAAATAAATTCAGCCACCCTACTACAGGTCCAAACACACATCTTGGGATGATTTTGATTGTGTGTTCCAATCCATAAGTGTGAGCTTTCCGCATTGAACTCAGTCTATAACGTTGTATTAGAGAGGAATTTGGTGTCTCACCATTAAGGATTAAATGGACTTTAAAACCATCTCTATCGCGAACTTGTGTACTAAGTCCCGGCCAAGCTTTTGGTCAAGTGGTCCGCCAAGTTATGTTATGATCCTAGTAATTCCACTGAAATACACCATTAATGATTAATTCCCTAATCATACTATGTCTAACACCCAAGTGTCTAGACTTGCCATTATAAACATGACTATATGCCTAAGCCAAAGTGGCAACACTATCCCGATGGACATAAATAAGTGCAATCGGTTTCCCCACAAAGGAATCTCAAAAATTAAATTTCTTAACCCTCTGCCTCTTTATCGGCGGTAGCCAACGCAACAAACTCAGATTCCATTGTTGTTCTTATAAATTACTTAAAGTTGTTCTTAGATATGAAGAACATTTTCCTGCTTTTTTAAAACAACGTGACAACTATATTATAAACTCGGCTGAGATCGACAATTGCGAAAAAATTTGTAATGTTTTGATATTTTTTTTTAATGCAACTGAAACTTTTAGTCATGTTTATAAACCTACCGCAAACCAATTTATTCATGAAGTTGTTAATCTCGCCGGTGCTTTTAAAGAATTTGAGAACGCCGTTTACGTGAGTTATTTTTGTGACTTTATGAAGGAAAAGTTTTTAAAATATTATGCACATATTCCGCATATTGCATTTATTCTCGATCCTCGTTTTAGACTAGCTAATTTGGAAGATTGTTTCAACTTCTATTATCTTGCTTTTTTGGTGAATTTCTTATGTATGACGATAACCCCATAGATCCTCGTTGCACAATATGGCAACACGCCCCCTCCCCCGACCCGAACATCTTCATCTAAAGGAAAATCAATTTTTAAATGTGCATTTGGCAATCTTATGAAAAAAACTAAAAACAACTCACCCTACTGAACAAAGCGCAATAAATGAGATTACTTTGTATTTAACATATGAAGTTGAGTTTGAAGAAAATGATGACTTTGACGTTCTAAAGTGGTGGAAGTCAAAAGAAAGAATGTTCCCGATTTTAACACGGATGGCTAAGCAAGTGCTATCAATGCCGGTTTAAACAGTTGTCGTGGAACAAGAATTTAGTTCGGCCGGCAACGTCCTAACGGCATCTAGAACGAGATTCAGCGCAAACTCTCTTGAGACGCTTATATGCTACCACGATTGCTTGAAGGCCGCACGTAGAACTCAAGAAATGAGCATCACCCCCTCCCAAGACTTTATGGATGACTCAACAACCGATGATGGCTCTACCTATGCCGTAGATTCCGATTGATTAGTATTTTAGAATTTATTATAAAATGTATTTCATGTTTTAATCTTTCCCTCAATTCTCAATTGTAATTTGTAAACTTGTACTTCATATTTCAAATAAATATGAGTTCATTTTTTCATATGTAGCACTTCTCAAATTAATTAATTGGTTACGCATGTGTATTTGTTTCTCATGTGAATTTCATCATAATTTTTTTGTAATAGCTTTAGTGGCTTAGTGCTACACGAATTAAATAATGTTTTAACCAATGTAAGCTGATTACCTTTTGTTCCGAGCAGTGTAGCACTAAGAAAGAGGAGCAGGACACCCAACACAAGATCGTTCATCTCTTCTTTAATCTCTTTTAATCCAATCTCTTATACGGATTATATAATTTATATTATATATGTATGTATGTGTGTGTGTATATATATATATATATATATATATATATATATATATATATCAACTTTAGTACTAATAAAGTAGAGTCATCTCAATTGAAATTGATTTCTACTTAAATTGCAATTGAGTACAATCATTAGAATTGATAATTTTTAGATTTTGCCCATAATTGTTTATAATCTAAATTGAAGTGAGGGGCATATTCAAAAAATAGATTGTTAACAAATGGCTTAGCTGATTTTTAGATAAACGGTTTACCTATGAGATAAATATGAGAAATACATTTATTGATTTTTTAAAGAGATAAACACGGAACACACACTTAATTATCATATTAAATTATTAATGTTGCATAAGAACGTATTGCTTATATAAACTTTTGAGTGTCATTCAAGTTTTTTTTACATTTGATCAATTTAATGAATTTATTGGTTTTAGTTATTAGTATTAATTATTTATATAAACTTTTAGATTTTAAATTTGATGAGTATAGACAAATTAACAATCTCAACAGCACAAACGAAAAATTTAAGATTAAAGGCATTGTTTTAAATAAAGTTATGGAAATTGATTTCTCCTTAAATTGCAATTGAGTTCAATCATTAAAATTCTTAATTTTAAGATTCTTTCCCTCAATATTCTTTAAATTAAATAAAGTACTTAAAATGTCCATTTCATTAGCATATACGGAGCACAATTTTAGGCAACACTTAACGGAAATTTGTTTGAAAAGATAACTCACACACAATAAAGACAAAGGGTTCATCTATAGTGCATCTTCAAATTTAGGGTATTTTACTTGGATTGTAATCAGTCGTAGACCAGACAAGATCAGACCAGATCAGGCCAAACCAAACTAGACTTGGATAGTTATAAACATACAAAGAAACCAGACCAGACCATTTCAAACCAGATCAGACCATCAAATTACAGTCCAAGTAAAAGCATCCTCGAGTTTCGGTATATTACCATTTTTAAGCAATCAATGTTCGATAAATTGCCACTTCACAATATTTCTACTATTTTTAATATAATCCTTCACAATATTTGATCTTTTGCTTCGTTGACCATCTGTCCTTTTCGCGAAAGGAAAAGAAATTAGCCGCTTGGTTTTATAGTAACCTTTTTCTCCAGATTACAGTATGAATTTTAGATATTGCTTCATTTAAGTCAGAACCGATTGTTCATCTTCTTCCTCCCTTTTTAGAGCCCGTTTGGTAGCACGAAAATCAGCTGATTTGGATGATTCTGCTGAAATTTATAAAGTTCTGGCTGAATTGGCTGCATTGGCTGATTTTGCTGATTTAAGAAAGAATTATTTTTAAAATTTATTTTATTAATATAATAAAGAAAAAATTATATGTAAAAATAGCTAAAATGATCATCTACAGTTAGGGGTGAGCAAATAACCGAAAAGACCGACGTAACCGGTAACCGATGACCGAACCGAACCGAAAATTCGGTTATCGGTCGGTTATCGGTTATTATTTGTAAAAAGTTATCGGTTATTCGGTTATTCGGTTATCGAGCGGTTTTGAATGTTCGGTTCGGTCGGTGACCGATAACCGATATTGCAAGGCTATAATGCTTCAATATAACAAAATAGTCCCGGTATATTAAAATAGGCCCAGACCAATTATAAGTTTATAACCCTGGCCCAAAGCTCTGAAACGGCCTAAGTGCCTAACACCCTAAATCGCTATTCCCTGAACCTCCGTTCTCCATCTCCTTTGAGTAAACTTCAGCGAAGAAGGCGAAGAAGCTAAGCGAAGAAGCTAAGCGAAGAACCCAAAGTAATCTTTGCCTTATAAGAAGACCCAAAGGTAATTTCTCTTCTTCAATTCCTAATCCGAACTGATTTCATCGATTGCTCCCACGGCAGACCTCTCCAGCAAAGTGAAGTAGCAGAGCATCGGTCATATATTACCTCTACCCAATATAATTATCTAACAGCCGTAAATCTCTAATTTATCTTAGTTAAACCCCTCTTTCTTGAACAAACACTTATTCTCTTTTTTCTTCAGTTTAGTGATCTCTCTGAAATGCATTAATTAGTGGTTATAATTAGGTCTAAAAATGTTAAATACTCGTATGATATTACATATACTGTTTTTACTTTTTATTCATCTCAAGAAGGAATGAAGTCATAAATGATAAAGACGTCTTTATCGTTCTTCCCTGTGAAATGTTTGCTGAAAGCAACTGCTGCTTATTTTGCTATGCACAAAGTAGCTTTATTAGTTTAGCCATTATAGATTTACAGAAACCTAAAACTTTATATTCAACATTTTATACTCCACATAAAATTGAATGTATACTGGGGTACTGATATTACTTGTTATAATAATTCTAATCAAAAGTAATACGTAGTATATATTATAAGTGTGGCCTCATGTTGTTCTGTTTTTTTTTGAATTGGCAGTGTGTTAGATTCATTTATTTATTTAGACGTGTTGATTTTGATCTTTTTTACAGATTAAGAAGGAAGATAAATACATTTGATGCAAGCTAGTGGACAAAGCATAGAGACTCTTGTAGTGAACAAAGAATTTTTGACAACTTAACCATTTGAATTTTGGATTTTTTGTTGTGTTTTTGGCTGTACTCTTTGCCTCTTTGGTGGTAATAATGCTGTATTAATGCTTGAAACCCAGTTAACAGTTTCGTTGATTTTTTTATGCATGTATGCATTTTTTAAGTTGATGTTGGATATGGTGATTTTATTCAGTAGAATTGCAGCACAAAGATATCCTCTTTCATATGAAGAAAGAGTACCCTGCCCTCCTGTGAGGAAAAAAAGGAGGAAATCTGAATTTACTCAATGGTTTAATTATTTTCGGTTATTGTTCGGTTATCGGTTATTGACCGAAACCGAACAATCTTTTCTCGGTCGGTTATTTTAATATATCGGTCGGTTTTCGGTCGGTTATTTGCTTAAAATTTTATAATCGGTTATTCGGTTATCGGTCGGTTATTTGACCGACCGACCGAATGCTCACCCCTATCTACAGTAACTTCAGCCAATACAACCAGAAAACTAACTCCAACCTTACTTTTTCTGCTTATTCCACAATTCAGCGCGCGAAAGCAAAAGTTACGTGTTTGGTGAAAGAGTTGGCTGATAAGCCGAAAAATAGTGTTGCCAAACGGCCTCTTAATATTTTATTAAGAAATCAATCGTGTATAGTATTTTAATATTCTACCACCATCTTTTCATAGATTTTAATATTCTAATTGTATCAAAGGATTATATAGTATACTTCTTTTTATAAAATATTAGAAAAGGAAAATTAATAATTAGTCTTATTTAAAGCCCTCAAGTTTCTCATGAAAAAATAAAATAAAATGATAATTATAGTAAATATGGATTATAAACTAAATAACCACTAATATAATGGTAAGTGATAGATTGATAAAAGTTAACAGGAAAAGTTAGATTTGTTAGTAAGAGAACTAAGGACAATCAAATTAGTATATAGTATACCTCTCATTATAAAAAATATTAGAAAAGAAAAATGAATAATTACGCTTATTTAAACACCTCAAATTTTTCATTATTGAAGCTTATACAATGATTGAATCGGAAAGACTCATTTCTAAGAAACAATCAGGTGAAACTGATGTCTAAGAAACAAAGGTCTGGTAGATGTAGTTGTAAGTGGAGAAACAAACCCTAATGCCCAAGTCAAAAGAATAATACTACCATCTTCGTTTACCGGCGAAGCAAGGTACATGATTCAGAACCATCAGGATGCATGTGGTGGTCATTGTTCGCAAGTGTGATAACACAAACATTTTTTATAACTTTCACGTGTAACCCAAAATGGCCACAAGTAGAGAAGTGTCTTCAGGATGGAAACTATAAATCTAAAGACAAGCCCAATATCATTGTGAGAATCATTAAGATCAAGTTCAAATCTCTCATAGAAGAACTCAAGGATAGAAAACTATTTAGAGAACTTCAAGCGCTTAAGTTCTCTCCAATGATTAAGATCAAGCTCAAACGTCGTGGTTTTAAATAAATGTAAATATAATTACATACTAATTTACTTCATTGGTTATGAAGTTATTTACACTACGTGTCCACATCGTCATGTTTATACGCTCTGCGGACAAGTTGAGAGGCGTTGATGACATTGATAAGGTCATCTCAGCTGAACTCCTGATCCTTTCCAAGATGCAGAGTTGCATGACACAAAAAAAGTTTAATGATACACGGTCCTTGCAGAGATTTCAACAAAGATCACCTTGCATGATAGACGGTGTGTTCTAAACATTACTCAAGGTGTTTCAGGCCCACAACCTCCATTAATAAATATGGGTATCCAGAGTATTACAAAAGGAACACTGGTATAACGGTAAACAGAGGTGGAAATCCTGAATAAATTTGTAATCAAGCCGGAAGATAACTACATATCAGCTATCGTTAATAACATTTATCGTAACAAGCAAGAACGCCCTAGCAATCCAACTTACTTGAAGGAAAGAGCGATACTTGAACCTTTTTACGTGGTTCTCCAAATAAATGACTACTTGCTATCTTTGATCCTTGGTGATCAAATAATGTAACTCATCTCAGATAGCATCATTAGTTCACATATCAGTTTGTGTCGTGAGAGTGACATGTATACACTAGAATTTCTTGATAGTCTCTCAATCTCGGGGTTGTCTGATCATGATTTGCATCTAAAGATTGGTGCTCCCATTATGCTCTTGATAAATATAGACCAGCCAACTGGATTTTGTAATAGAACCAGGTTGATCATTCTCACCAAGCTCAGAAAAAATGTGCTAGAGGCAAAGATCATCACTGGAAGAAATATGAGGGCCACTGTTCACATTCCCAGAGTGTCGTTATCTCCATCTGACGTAACATTGCCTTTTAATTTTCAGATGAAGCAATTCTCGGTTATGGTATGCTTTGCGATGAGCATCAACAAGAGCCAATCTTAGTAAATATGCAGGTCAGACTATATCTCAAGAATAATGTGTTCACACTTGATCAATTATATGTTGCCATATCAAGAGTCAAGAGCAAAGAAGGATTGAAGATTTTGATTCGTTCTAAAGATGGGGGATTTTCATCCAATGTCATAAATGTTGTCCATAGAGAGGTTTTCCAGAATTTAGAAGCATAGTCTTTCAATTTTATAATGTCTTACGGATGCCAACATCTTTATTCTTATATATTATATAATATTATTTTGAATTAATACGTATTCAATGCTTTTATCCATGTGACTTAAAAAAATCATACAAAATATATATTTCACATATGCACAAAATTGTAAACTAAATATTTCAAATGGCAGTTGCACCCGGGGCAATGCCCGGGTACAAAACTAGGATTAAAAAAATTTAAAAATTTAAAAATAGGACTACCATGTTTTTTCCCTCCAAAATAGGAGTAATTGATGTCAAGTTTGGAAAATAATGTCATGTTTAAAGTATGGTATTGTCGAAACATATCAATAACTAGTCCTATTTTGCGAATAAAAGCATGATAATCCTATTTCGGAATTGACAAACATTTTTTGTCTCATTTAGGGTAAATTCCCTTAAATAATTTACGCTTAACATTGGGCAGCAAAGGCTCAAGTAGGAATCATGAGAAATTTGAGGGGTTTAAATAAGCGTAATTATTCATTTTTCTTTTCTAATATTTTTTATAATGAGAGGTATACTATATACTACTTTGATGGTCCTTAGTTCTCTTACTAACAAATGTAACTTTTCCAATTAACTTTTATCAACTCTATCACTTAACATTATATTAGTGGTTATTTAGTTTATAATCCATATTTACTATAATTATCATTTTATTTCTCCAGAATTTAGAAGCATAGTCTTTCAGTTTTATAATGTATTAGGGATCCCAACATCTTTATTCTTATATATTATATAAAATCACTTTGAATTTATACGTATTTCAATGCTTTTATCAATGTAATTTAAAAAATTCATACGAAAGATATATTTAACATATGCACAAAATTATAAACTAAATATTTCATGTGAAAGTTGCACCCGGGGCAAAATTATAAACTAATATATAATATATATTATATATATATATACACACACACGATAGTAGGAAAATCTTCCGGTAAGGTATACCTTACCGGAGCCGCCGTGCAGCCTCCACGTTTTTGAGGGCCTTCCCGGTGGAATTTTTCGATGAAAATTTTTGAGCATGTTCTTCATCAAGTCGAGTACATCCATACCAGATTTCAGCAAAAAATTCAATCAGAAAGGTTGTCAAATGATTTTTGGAAGATAACTCCACCCTTTATACACATATAAAACGTAGTTATCTTCCAAAAATTGTTTGATTTCCTTCCCTGTTAAGAAACGGGATTCCATCCTAAAAGGTCAACCTGTTAGGAGGAGTAACCCAGAGCTTAATATAGCACTCGTTTCATCCAAACTCTTCCGGTGTGGGATATTTAACACCCCTCCTCACGACCAGACACTTCGTCTGGATCGTGCCATCATTTATTTTTTCATTGGTTCGTCATTGTCATATTTTTTATATAATCATGTCGTCATTTTTTCATAAGGGGCCCACACCATGGATCGGTTTGGCTCTGATACCATGTTAAGACACGGGATTCCATCTTAAAATGTCAACCTGTTAGGAGGAGTAGCCCAGAGCTTAATATAACACTCGTTTCATCCAAACTTTTCCGGTGTGGGATATTTAACATTCCCGATTGAATTTTTTGCTGAAATTTGGTATGGATGTACTAGACTTGATGAAGAACGTGTTCAAAAAACTTCATCAAAAAATTCTACCGGGAAGACCCTCAAAACGTGGAGGCCGCACGGCGGCTCCAGTATGGTATACCTTACCGGAAGAGTTCCCTACGATAGTATATATATATATATATATATATATATATATATATATATATATATATATATATATATATATATATATATATATATATATATATATATATATATATATATATATATATATATATAATACACCACAATTATTTTTATTTATAGTACTATACTACCGTATCATCATGATTTCATCACATGGGTAGTAATACCAAAATAGCATGTATATATATGTACTCCGTATAAATGTGTGTATTATACTACATACTACTATATCATGATTGATTTCACTAGATTGATAAGTACAAAAAAATAATATACATTCACTTTTAGTATACAAATAAATTGGTATCTTTTTTTTTTGAACTCAAATAAATTGGTATCTAATAATACGGATGTATTTAATTGGACTACACTTCAATAATTGTCCTAAATAGGAGTACATAGATTTTAGAATTCCAAAATAAGACTAAATGATTTTGTTTTTGAAATAGGAGTCATTACTATAATGATTAAAAATACTTCTTTAATAAGAGTAAATACTGTCATGTTAATGTTAGTATTGCAACTATATATTGATAATAATGTCTCCAAGGATAGATGACAGTAAATATTGTCATATTACTCCAATTTCGAGAGAGAAACATAACAGTCCTGTTTTGAAATTCTAAAACTTATTTACTCATATTTCGGGAACTTTCTCGACTAATATTTTCTAGTCTTAAAAATTTCACCTAGTTCCTCAATCACTATCAACTAGCATCATGTCAGTTGGTGAATCTAAGAGTAGGCAAGCATACTTCAACGGGGAGAATCAATAGTATGGAAACAGAGTTGGGTATGAAAAAGACCAATCTACCAACCAAATACTTAAGAGTCAAATCTGCATAAGGGTATTTCCAGGCTTTCACATTGCAAGGACCTGTTTGAGCTTTTTGACCAAAAGCTCTTTTCTTGGAGACAAAAGCTTCTATATCAAGGCATGTTCTTAATGCCATTCCGTTTCATATTCTTGCAGTAACTCAATTACCAGCTTCAGTTTTAACACTTCTTAAGAAGAAAACTGCAATTTTTTCTGGGAAGTAAAGGAAGCATTCACAAACATCATTGGGCTAAATTTAAAGACCTTTGTAAACCTACTGAAGCAGGAGGAGTCAGTTTTAGGTCTCTTTCTGAATTCAGAAAGTATATTCTATTAAACTTTGGTGGGAGTATCAAAAGGGCAAGACACTTTGGGCCAAATTCATGCAATCACGTTACTCTACTAGGAGTTTAAATGAAGTTAAGCCTACAGATTCTCCAATTTGGAGGGAGATTAGTAATATCAATGAGGAAGCAGAGACAATGGTTACTAGGACTTGTAGCCCATTGATATGGAAGTATGGCACCACACTGAAAATGGAGAATTTATGACTAAATCAGCTTACATAGGCATGCAGGAACTACACTTTCATTATCAAATAGTTGGCATCCCAAACAAATTAAAAAAGACAGTTTTTTTCTCTGGACACCGGAATAAAAGTCTGTCCGTCCCTGAACATCTTGCTTCTTTTTCAGATGTCTACCCTACTATTTGCCCGTTTTACAAACAGAATGATGCAGACAACTTGTACCCTCTAACAACAGATACATTGGTTCATTTTTATGTTTTTCTTTGGCTCAATAATCTACTGGATTGTTGGAGCGTTATACGCTAAACACGTCAAATATTAACAGAGGATAAAAATGCATTTTCTGTTTGAGGCTCTCAAAAATGCTTTCTCTTTATGAGCTTTTTATGCCATAATGAGCTCCATCTCAAAAAGCTTGATGTCAAGACTATTCAGAAAACCAGCTGGACCTAACAAGCACTATTGAGTCTATCCCATTATCAAACAGGTAAGTTGAGGATAGCAAAAACATGACATTTAACCTTTTTACAGTTTCAACACTAACAATTAAGTATATACTAGAAATTTACTCTTACTAACGAAAACCTATAGCATGCATTACATGGCACTATGACATATGTGATTGAAAGAGAATCACATTTAGGTGACTCATGACAGTCCACATTGTTAACCCAACAAGTGGCTGGACTTATCACAAACAGTGGGAGGGGTGGATGACAAAAGATGAATAGGTTACCTCAAGTTCATCTAGTTCCCAATCAAATTCACAGAAAACCTATAAGAAAAGATCAAATATAAAATGAAAGAAAATATTTTACTACGTAGTAAACATATCTTGTAGTATCTGAACTCTAAAGGAAATTCTGTTTTAGACTTCTAAATACAAATAGTGCTCTATTCAAACTCATCTTCCTTGAAGGAGTACCAAATACCAATGAAAAAGTACTGAATTCAAGAAATGAATTTAATACACGTATTGGTGAAACCATACACCTGTGAACCATTTTCATGATCATATGATCGAAAGAGTAAAGCAACAACACAGCATGTCAATATGAAATGGTGCATATACTCCTTGTCAATTACATTTAATAGACTATGACTCATGTGCATGTGTTAAATAAAAATGAAACAAACCAAGAACAGAATACAAGCTCATCAGCAAGTATCAAAATTCCATGGGTGAAAGATAAAATAAGTTCATGTCAACTAGAATGCATATCTATAAAATGCATATCACGAACTCGGCTAGGAAATCCATATCCTATTAGACACATTTATTCAGTGACAGTTAAAAAAATATGCCCCAGCCCAAAAATAAAGCAAATACATCCAAGGAAATGCATCACCAAAATACTTCCGTTGATGAGCAAAAATGCAAATAATTAGCAAGGTAAAATATATTCACTCACATGGTAAGAAATACTCAAACTTCTTCATATGCTCCAACATCAAATGTTTTAAGCCAGCTCTATGTAGACAATGAAGATGAATTCATTAAAAAAATTGACTACTTAAGGACAAAAGTGCTACCAATGCTCGGCAGAGAAGTGAGGGGATACAAAAATGATTTCAGGTGAGAGTGTTTAACTTAAAAACAAATGTACAATAATATAATTGCTCACCCAATCGCAAAATACACAAGATAGAAGCCCACAATCACAACAATTGTTGGGACAAATAAGAGAATCTCAAAGGTAAACCTCTGGAATAATTAGTACTCCCTCTGTCCCACTAGAAGGTTCCCGTTACGGTTTACGATGCTTGACCGACGATAAACTAACTTAATACCCATTCACACTGATTATTTTTAGTAAATAAAATTTACATATTCAAAAACTACATTAAAACAGCTACAAAGCCTGATAAAAAATGTAAATTTGATAAAAATTTGATATATAAAGCAAAAGATTAAAAATGATTTAAATTGACCATGTGAATAGTGGACGAGAACCTTCTAGTGGACGGAGGTAGTAGGTTATAAAGCATATGAATGCACAACGCAAAATACATTCTTTGTGTACAACCCCATATAAAAATTTGGGATTTGAGTCTTTCAACCTGGGAACCCATAAACAAACAAGATATTGAATAAATAATTATCATAAATAATAAAGCAATGTACCCAGTAAAAGCCCTTTACCGTGAATTTAACAAATATATGACGATACCTATTGTGCAAAGGGATATATGGAATCCAATCCATTTTCATCTGTTTCATAGGAATTATTTCTTCAGCTTCCCTATGTATAGAGTTTATTCCCATTTATATAAAACACAACTTTTTTTTTGTTACAATAGCAGTTTATACATTTCTCTTCTTTATCTTTTGTTTTCCTTTTATGCTTTTGTCTACAGCTTTGAATCAAATGGGCGGAATACTACTAAGTATGAAAATGAGCCTAACCAGAAAAAGTGGTGCTTTGAGTAATTGGGACACAAGGGACATCACCCTGTGTGGTTGGTATGGAGTGAGATGTAACTCCGATCAAGAAGTTTTAGAACTTGTTCTAACTCGCACCAACCTCACAGGAACTATTCACGGAGACATTGGAGGCCTTCTTTCATTGAAGTACAAAAACTTAGCGGGAATAAGCTATCGGGTGATATTCCTAGAGGAAGTTGTCCCATGCGAGATCTTGAACAACTTGATTTGCCCTCCAATCAATTAACAGGGTCAATACCTTCTAAAATCGGATTCTTGAAAAAACTGAGCTTGTTAATTTTATAGGACAACCACTTGGTTGGAGCTATACCAAATACCGTTGAAAAATGTATACCGTTGGTTGCATTTTTTGCACTGTTCCTATGCCCCAAATGGGGTAAGAGCAGCCATTTTTTACGAATTTGATACTTTCGAAGATTGCATTGTAGCCATGGATTCACGATTGAATTAGATACCAAATACCAACCACTTACCTCTAGTGTTCTCTCCTTCCAACTTGGACAATGTAAGAACTTGGCCATCCTAGGACTTTCATGCATCCGTCGTTCAGGAACTTCACTCTCTGGCAAAATCCCATCAGAACTCGTGACATTCTTTATGAGCTCAGAAACTGCCACCAATTACAAAGAATTGATCTTTCCAACAACTCCTTAACGGGTGATATCCCCGACAGTGTAGGGAACTTACACAATCTAAAAGAGCTTTCTTTACAGATAAATTTGTTATTTGGTTCCATGCATTCTACAAAATCTACAAGCTTGGAGCATATAAACCTTTCAGAGAACCAATTATCCAATTCAATAGTGGTTGGAATTGCGAAAATGTTTAATCTGAAGCTTTAGTGTTTGTGGAGGAACCAGTTTTAGGGGCACATTCCGTCAAACATTTCTTCATGCCACGATCTACAAGATATTGACTTATCTTATAAAGCTTTCACTGGTTCAATCCCCAAAGGCCTCTTCCAACGTACAACTTCGGGATTTGAATGTAGTGGAAATGATATCCAATAACCTTTCTGGAGCCATACCACCGGAAATAGGTAACTGCTCTTCTCGTGTCTGGTTCCGAGCTAGTCAGAATAAATGGTTAGGATCCATACCGTTGGAGATAGGAAACTTGGAGAATTTAAATTTCTTGGACCTGGGATTAAATAGACTCATCGGAGTTATTATGACTAAAATATATTAGTGTAGGAACCTAATGTTTATCGACTTTCACACCAACTCTATTTCGGGTACGATTCCTGACCGATTGGGAGGGAGTGTTTGTTTAAAGGAACTTGATCTAAAAAAAAAAAGAAGGAACTTGATCTTTCCGATAATTTGATTGAAGGTATTTTAAGTCCTAATATGGGGTTATTAAGCTCACTCACCAAATTGATTTTAGGACGGAACCAGTTTTCTAGCTCAATCGCGATACAACTTTGCGTGTGTTTGAATCTTGAATTGATTGATTAAGTAGGAAACAATTTTCTGGCAACATTCCATCGGGTTTGAGTAAAATTCTAGTTATAGCAATTACTTAAATCTGACTGAAATAGACATTCAGGTTTAATTCAAAGGCAAAAAGACATTAATAGGAATAAAACAAGTACCATGAATGTAAATTGGAGACTATAACTCCTATTTACGTTCATGGCACTTATTTTACTGCTATTGAAGTCTTTTACCCTTGAATTAAACCTGAAAGTCTATTCCAACTTAAATATAAGGAAATTGCAAGAACTAGAATTTAACTCAAATCTGAAAACTGATTCCTACTTAAATCTATCAATTCAAGCTTCCAACACTTGCAAAATTGTGTCGGGATTGAGCCAGAAAATCAGTTTCATCCTATAATCAATTTGGTGAGTGAGCTTAATGACCCCAAATTAGGACTTAAAATACCTTCAATCAAATTATCAGAAAGATCAAGTTCCTTCACATTCCCTCCCAATTGGTGAGGAATCGTACTCGAACTAGAGTTGGAGTGGAGGTCGACAAACATTAGGTTCCTACATCAATGTATTTCAGTCGGAATAATTTCAGTGAGTCTATTCAACTCTAGGTCCAAGAAACTTAAAATCACCAAGTTACTTATTCCAACGATATGAATTCTGACAGTTTATTCTCACTAGCACGGAACCAAACAAGCGAGGAGCAATTACCTATTTCTAGTGGTAGGGCTCCAAAAAGGTTATTGAATATTAATGTCATGACATTCAGGGCCCGAAGTTGGAAAAAGCTTTTGGGGGTTGAACCGGTGAATGCATTATATGATAGGTCAATATATTATAGAATGTGGCATGGTGAAATGTTTGATAGAATGTAACTCTCAAACTAGTTTGTCCAAAAATACAAGAGCTTTAGATTAAACATTTTTTCAATTTCAACTGGTATTGAAACAGATAATTGGTTCTCTGAAAGGTCTATATGCTCATGCTTGTAGAATTACATGGATAAGAATGCATGGGACCAGATAGCAAGTGCATATTTAAAGATATCTCTTTTAGAACGTCTAAGTTCCCTATACTGATGGGGATACCACCGCTTAAGGAGTTGTTGGAAATATCAATTCTTTGTAGTTGGAGACAATTTCCGAGCTCATAAGGAAAGTCACCAACAAACTTGTTTTCCCATAACAAAAGAAATTCAAGTGTTTAAAGGTTACTTTGATTACCTAGATAGGCGAAATTGATCCAATGAGAGCATTCATGTGGAGATGGATGTTCTTAAAGAAAGGAATCCACCAAGTTCTGATGGTATTTTGCTCAAGGGATGATGGTAAAGAAAGACGGGTACATGAAAGACTTTGAATGGTCAAGTTCTTGCACTATCCAATTTGTGGAGAGAACCCTAGAGGTAGGCATTGCCACTAGCTCAAAATATTAAGTTTTCGGATCACAAATGTATTTGGTATAGATTCAGTCAACTGGTTGTCATATAGAATTAACAAGGTCGGCTTTTTCAGAAATCCGATTTCAGAAGGGATAGGCCTTGTTAATTGGGTAGAGCTCAAATTAGGCTATTGGAGATCTGACAGGTGACAAATTTCTCTAAAAATATCACCAGATATCTTATTCCACTAAAGTATATGTACTTCAGTGGAAGAAGACCTCCAATGTCTCTGAGAATTGTTCTGGTGAGGTTGGTGCGAACTAAAACAAATTCTATAAATTCTTAATAAAAGTTATATCTCACGACATATCGCATGGGGTGATGTCCCTTGAGTCCTACTTACTCAAAACACCGTTCTTTCTAGTTGGACTCATCTTCATACTCAGTATAATTCTACCTTACTATTTCAAAGCTATAGAGAAATGCATAAAAGGAAGAAAAGTGATAAAGAAGATAAACGTATGACTTGCCATTGCAACAAAAAATAGCAGTGCCTTAGAGTAAAGTTTTCTTCTCAGCTCTAATCTGGGGGTGACTTGGTGAGTAGTACACTTCATGCTGCTGGCTTTTCTTATTCCATGGATAAAATTGTATTCTTCCACACAGGATATTAGTTGAAACATCTTGCAGGATGGAAAAGGGTTCATCCAATTCTAAGAGACTGCCAGACTGCCTTAGTAAAATTCCAGCTCTCTCCTTCCAGCTCTCTTTTATATTTCTGCTCTCTTCAACCGTAGTAAAATTCCTATATATTAAGATTGATCTTAAATGTTCTGGGGTTCCTATCATCAATGCACTCTTATTCAATGAATTACTTAAAGTAGTGAATCACCGTCCTCTGAGTTGGATCGCTCAAGGAAGTAAGAAAATATTATTGTGTACGTGTAGTAATCATATTCTATTTTGAGGTAAGAATATTATTTGTCTTTTCTTCTTGTATTTACATTAGTCATCAATAACACAAAAAATTTCAAATACACTTTCTAAGTATAGATGCTTTCTCGAATGTAGAAAAATGTAGATCCAGGCCTTCGTAGTTGGCAGATGGAAAAAGAAACAAGGTCTAGCAGGGTCTCTTTTGGGACTTTAGGTGGACCTCCTCACAAATTAGTACACCCACAGACCCACTCACTTTACTTTATCAACATGCCCGTTGGGGTCTCTTTTTTGGCTTTTGCACTCTTGCATTTGAGTGGAGTGTGGATGCGCTTTTTGTATTCACCTACCATCCGGGTGAAGGGCAGGGAATCTAGATCTATCATGTTTGGCTTACAAGTGCCAGTGTTGGGATTCACAAGTCATATTGGCTCTAAATCTGGTCCAATTAATGGAGTGCAGTTTTGTACACCCTCACTAAGGAGGGTGATGTTCACCCTCTTTGCTCTATGGTTGCCATGTGGCATTCCATCCAATTTTCTTCCTTAAAATGTTATAACTTTTTTATTTATAGTCTACTTTTTATAAAAAAAAAATATATCAGATTTTTTAGTTTTTTATGATCTTTCCAATGATATCAATTTTGTATATATAAAAATTTGAAAAAAAACATTTATTTCTAAAATATCTATTTTTAGTTGATTTTTTTAAATTTTTTATATTCAATATTAGTACCATATGAAAGATCGTAAAAAAAGAAACATTTTAATATATTTTTCAAAAAAAATGGATTAAAAAAGAAAAAGATAAAACAATTGCCAAATTGTGAAATATTGTCTTGCCACATGGCAGGCAAATAGGGGTGAGGGTGAACATAACCTCTCAAATGAGGGTGAACAAAATTGTTCTCCAATTAATGGTAGGTGATTCAGTCATGAGGTTTGTCTTGAAGTAACTTTTCTGATTTCAAATGTTTCAATACAAGCCATTTACCGTAAATAAGTCTTATTTTCGTCTTCGAGTTTTCTATTACCATGTAATACGAGTATTATTTTTGTCAAATCTTCATATTTCTTATGATATTTCATCTTTCAGTATTACTCCCTTTGTCCCCTCATATTGTACTGTTTTACCTTTTCGTAAAATCCCACTAAAATTGTCAGATACTATATTTGGTAAAGTTTGTGTGACTCTAAATCATTCTTATTTTATTCTTACTTTATCAATTAATATCAACCACACAAACAAACTCATTTTCCTTAATAATCGTATCACTCTCTTCCGTCCCAAGGGACAGAGGTAGTACTACGTAGACATATTTGGCTTTTGGAGGAAATCACAACCAGCAAATTTTCGGAGATTAAAAATTTACATTTTTCTTGCAAAAAATATAATAGATTTTGGGTGCGAAACAAAAATAAATGAGAGTAAATTTGCCCATATACTCCGTACAAGTTAAACATAGGTAACATCTATATCTATCTATATATAATACAATTCAAAGTTACATTTAGGGAAAGTGTTGCCATGTGTCACGCTCTAAGCAACTCCCTCATCATATATATTCTAAATTTAGAGATAGTAATTAATAAAAGCCCCAAAAAAGTAATTCTAACCTTGCTTTAGCGAAAAAGTTGACAAGTTTGATAATTCAAAAAACAGAGTCACCAAACAGGCTCAATTGCAATTAGGAAGGCTTCTCCAAAACTTCCCACCAATTGCACTCAAAGTGCACTTTCTCAACAATAAAAAATCCTCTTGTTCTTAAATAAGTGCAACGGTCAATTTTTCATATTTGAAGTGTGAAGTTTATTTTGGACCTGCTCAAATAGAAAAGTCTATGTGAAGTTTATTTGGGACCGGAGGTCGTATTATTTTTTAAAAATAATTTATTAATACAATAATAAATAAGTGTAATCAAAGTAAAAAATATATTAATAGTGTAAATTTCAACATGTTATACTTAATTAAGAATGGAGAAAATATACAATTTCTATAAAGAATAGAGTTGATGTCTCCTCTCAAACTATGTCATATCAATTCTTCGTAGATTATAATTATTGCTAACAGTAAGAACTCCAAGTTTTTGAATGTCAAGAAACTTAAAGCAATCTTGGAAAAATTAGAATCTTGGAACCACCAAACATCATTTTTTATAAATATACAAATTATATGAAAATGTTTTTCGTTAAAAGTACTTTTATAAAAGTTTAAGAGATGACTAAGTGTAGTATTTTGGGACGAAGGTAGTACATAATTTTAACTCAAAGTGCACGTTCTCAAAGTTTTTGAATGTCAAGAAACTTAAAAGAATCCTGAAAAACAATTATACGAAGGTAGTACAATCTAGGAACCACCAAACATAATTTTTAGAGATATAAAAATTATATGAAAATAGTCTTTGTTAAAAGTATTTTTATAAAAGTACAAAATTTACAACTTCTAAAATATTATTCTAATTAAACTTATATTCCAAACTTTAAGAGATGACTATGTATTTTGAGACGGAGGTAGTACCTAATTTTAACTCAAAGTTCACGTTCTCAAAAAATACTTCATTCGTTCTTAAATAAGTGCAATGATAAATTTTTCACATTTGAAGTGGATAATAAAGTAAGAGTAGTATAAAAGTAACTTTGTATTTAAAATTTACCAAAAATAGATCTGTGAAGTTTATTATATTGTGGAGTAGCCCAAAAGGAAAGTGTAAGTCAAGTTTATTTGGGATCAGAGGTCATATTATTTTTAAAAAGTATTTATTACTACGTAACACATTAATAAATAAAGCGTAGTCAAAGTAAAAGTAAAAAGATGCTAATAGTGTAAGTTTCAACATTTTCCACTTATTTAAAAATGGGGAAAGTAAATAATTACTAAAAAAGAAAATTGATATAAACCCAAAACTGCACCTCCCAAACTATGTCATATCAATTAGTGACATCAAATTTAGATCAAAACAATGATGCGGATATATCCATCTCAAAGGGTATGTTCCAATTCAGAGTATTATGCAAAACTCAAGTGCTCAACTCTATTTATTAGAAATTGTATATATATCCACTAAAAAAAGTCTTTAAATAATACTCTCAATGTCCCTTAAAACTTTGTCAAGTTTGATCGATACGATAATTAATTAGTAAAGTAAAAATTATGCAGTTGAAGTTCGTGCAGGAGAGAGATATATAACTAGAATCACAATTTTTTTGTCTAAAATGGAAAGTGACAAAGTTTGTAGGAACATAAATAAATGAAAAGTGGCAAAGTTTTAAGAGATAATAAATAGATTAGTATAATAGATTACAATATAATAGATTAGTATAATCCACTCATTCTATTGATAGGTGTTATACTAAATAGTTTATATATTACAAATAATAGAAAAATACTTGAGATTGCATTTGTTCTCAACAAATTTATCATTCATTTGTTCATGTTGTATTGAATGTTGTAAATTAACACATTAAAAGTCACATAGGATTCAAACAATTCAGGAAGCTGATAATAATAATTCTCATAAAATGTTAAAATAACCCGTCCACAACCATAAATCAATGTTAATGTGGGATATTGGAGATATAAGAAGAAATGGGAGGTAGGCCGTGAAGGGCCCAAAAAACTAAAATACATGTCTATCAGCATTGATCACTAATTCTTCGTACATTGTAATGTTCCCCACTCTGTTCAACAAAAATCATAGCCGTTCCGATTATAGGGGCAAAAGATGTTGGTCCTCAACGGCGATAGCCATGCATGAGAATTTAAAAAATCTATATAAGAAAGTTAACATTGGTAAAATCAATCATCATGCCATATATTTGCTAAATACGAATAAAGAATGAATTAAACCCTTACAAGTTTTGCATTTTAATAGGGGCAAAAAAGGATAGTATACTTGTATTGAATGTTGTAAATTAACATAGAAATGGTCACATAAGATCGAAACAATTCAAGAAACTCGGAACAATAATTCTCAAAGAAACTCGGAACAATAATTCTCATAAAGTGTTAAAAATAACCTTTTGGAGTTGTAAGACTAATTGAACATGCAATTGTCATAATACTTTTCTCAAAACGTAATGACAACTTTATACGGAGTATGTCTTTATTTCAAAAATCAGTTATAGCTTATTCATACAAGAATTATTTATAACATAGATGGTTTTATTCTATAAATTATTCTTTAGTTTTCCTTAAGAATAACTACTATTTGTGTTTTTTTGTAAAAATTTAAATATGATTACATTATGAACTTAAATAAATGCATTCGATGTTGAAAATTATTATGATATATAAATTATACTTTACATATTGTAAGCATACGAACTATAAGTATAAGCAGAAATTGTAGATTTCAGGGACCCTTTGTTCGTGTGTGACAATTGTACAACCAATATATGGTATGAAGAACGGGTTAACAAAGTTTCAAGGTCAAATAGTATTGAATTCCCACTACTAATATTAACAATGTTTCAAGATCAAATGCCTTAACAATAACTCTTTATATCTTCATACCAATGAGTGGTATGAAGAGCGAGTTAACAAAGTTTCAAGATCAACTAATATTGAATTCTCATTATGTTGCATGAAAGGTAAAGTTCAACTTCCCTTTTGTTAGAGAGATTAACTAACTAACAGAAAGAGTAGAAGAGCAGATCTCATTCACACATCAACTAATCGTATTATTCATAGCAGCACATACAAGTATTTATAGAGTACACAAAAGCTAAAGGTCTGTTTGGTATTACATTTAACATCCCCCTTTAATACCAAACCCTTATCACTAGTAAACTAGGCCAAACTGACTATATTCAATAGACCTCTGAACTTTCTAAAGCTATCAATCGTCAAAGCTTTAGTCATTACATCAGCTATTTGATCTTTAGTGCTGCAATGATTCATCTCTACTCTATCTCTGTTCACCTGCTCCCTTAAAAAAATGGAATTTTGTCTCAATATGCTTGCTACGGCCATGTGAGACTGGATTCTTAGCCAAATCTATGGCTGATTTATTGTCAACAAACATCTTTATTTTAGGATCAATTATCTGCTTCAAATCTTCCAGTAAAAACAACAACCAAACTCCTTGACAAACAG